ACTAGTGCGAGATGACCAACAAACCGAGCCTACCAACACGGACGTCCCAGCCACCACCCTTCTGGCCAAACGACGCCACTTATTAACCGTGTCCGGCCTCGGGCCCGGACCGTCAGCGGGAATTATAGCTGCCGCCCCGAGGAATGAGATGCATGATGGGGTGAACCTGGGGTGGATGGTTCTGGCCGGGTGTCCGAGGTGTCAGCACTCGCCTGAGTTGGAACGGCCGCGGACCGAGGCTGACAATCCCGGCAGATCGTCCCCGGTGCACTCATCTTGCTGTGGTATCCGTGGGCGATGTGTCCCTCACGACCGCAGCAATGGCAGATGACTTCTTCCGTGACCGAAGGATGCTCTCCTGCCTCGTGAGGTGCCCAGCGCCGGGGTCGGCGCTCCGCTTCCCGCGGGATCCTTGGATACTGCCGCAGGGCCGCCACCATCTCTCCCTCATCCTCCTCCACTGGCGGCGCGTGTCTGGTTGGGGGCCGTGGCAGCCCCTCGACATCACCGTGATTCTATGCGACGTGTGCCACACTTCGCGCGGGTCCCGCCATCTCTTCGTAAGCACAGAGATGTCATGCAACCCATAGCAAGGTGCAGGCTTCCCCCTCCACCACCGTCAGCATCACTCCCGCCTTCTGTGCCCTGGCAAGGAGCCGCTCCACCACCAGCGAGTTCAGGCCCGGCTCGTTGAGCCGTGGGAATGCGGCTTCTGGCAGCGTCAACAATTCCATCCTGAAGACCAGGAGCGATTCGGCAGCTTCTCGCTGGTGGTTTTTAAACTTCTGGTGCGCGCCGGACGGATGGTCGAACACCTCCACCATCTCCTTGTAGACACCCTGCAGGGATCCTTTTTTTGCAGGCGGAATCCGGTCGAACACTGCCAGTACAGGGTCGTCCAACACAGTGGGCAGCATTGTCAGGGCTTGTTACTCCGTCCACTTCATTGCCCGGGCGGCCGTCTCGAACCGGTGGACGAAAGCGCGCCATTCTCCCGATATGAACGCGAACCTCTGTATCGTGCACAGCTGGCGGCGCCATCCTAGTCCTCCCTCTGCGGGCTGCCTCGGCTGAGTTTCGGGCTGAATCTTGCTCCCGACCTCTGCCCTTTCCCCTTTCCTGGTCAGCTGCTCTCTGTTGCGCTCCAGTCGTTCATGTCCCCCGGTTGCCCATGCTGTCGGTGGATATCGGGAGGACAGGCCAGGGTCGGTAGCGTCGCTGGTGCTGCTCCATCCCCTGTTAGCTGCTGCGGAGTGCCTGGTCGGGAATGCTGACCGTGGCACCCGTCCCCTCGCTGGGGAGGCGATGCGGCTGAAGTTCCCCCCCGCTCGTTCGACCTCAGGACTCAGCAGGCGAAGCAGCGCGGTTACTGCCTCAAGAAGCTGATCCATCCTCCGATCCCTAGAGGATGATCTGTGGCGGCGGCGCTGGGTCTCCACCACTGGGTTGGTGGAGGAAGGTGCCCACACGGGACGAGCAGTTGCACGGATCCCGCCGATGAGCCAAGGGGGACGAATCCCGACTCGTCGGTTCCATTTCCGAGCAATTCTCGTCCCGGGCACCAAGAGCGTCTTTTGGCTGAGTCCACGAACACGCATCTCGCAGCCACTTTTAAACCCTCGATCTCTGCTCTCGTTCCCAATACACATCTCCGTCTCACACGCTGAATCCGTGTGACGTCAATGCCCTTTAACCATTGACCCCCGTCTAGTGTGTTTCCGTGCATGTGATTAGTGTGTGCAATGCTGAGTGCGGATATTTCATGTCTGCGTGGTGCGAGTACGTGAGGATGGCTCGCAGATCCCCTACATATGTAATTGCGTGGAGGATGAGTGAGTTTGATGTTGGTATTGATATAAATTCAGAAAAATATTAAAATTCCTGTATTTAATATCAGCATCCACGTCATCCGTGATGAGACCATTCACATTGAAGCTCAAATAGCGGTGGCGATGATGGCTGCGATGATGGTTGTTAAGGTAGCCCTAATGTGGCTGATGAGACCACATTTAAAATCTGTTTCTGCAAGATGCCTTACAGAGGGTTTTTTTTGTCATGGTTGCTGAGCACAGGCTCAAAGGGCCAGAACACTAAGCGGTCAGCAATAAACAGCACTATTAAAATGGTATTAGATAAGATTGAACATGTTTGCATACATGTCATTACATCCTTGCGAATGATAATATCCCATCTCAAGACATTTTCCAGGTGAAATATGTTACTGTAATATGTTACTGAAATTTGTTACTGAATTTGGAAAGGGACGATGGGAAGGAATTCCAAAGTGGACCGGAGCGAGGGAAGAAGCACAAAGAGAAGCAGCGGTGTTGGCAGAGCAGCAAGCTGCTACTTTTTGCGTCCACCAACGAGCTCCAACACATGTCAGCCCATGGCGTGGCCGATGCTCTGTTGGGATGTGCCCTTACCTCTTCACAAGGTCGCTTCCCTTACAGTGCTTATTTAAAATCTGTTTCTGCAAGATGCCTTAGAGAGGGTTTTTTTGTTATGGTGGCTGAGCACAGGCTCAAAGGGCCAGAACACTAAGCAGTCAGCAACAAACAGCACTATTAAAATGGCATTAGATAAAATTGAACATGTTTGCATACATGTCATTACATCCTTGCGAATGATAATATCCCATCTCAAGACATTTTCCAGGTGAAATGTTACTGTAATATGTTACTGAAATTTGGTACCGAATTTGGAAAGGGACGATGGGAAGGAATTCCAAAGTGGACCAGAGCGAGGGAAGAAGCACAAAGAGAAGCAGCGGTGTTGGCAGAGCAGCAAGCTGATACTTTTTGCGTCCACCATCGGGCTCCAACAAATGTCAGCCCGTGGCGTGGCCGATACTCTGTTGGGATGTGCCCTTACCTCTTCACAAGGTCGCTTCCCTTACAGTGTGTAACAAAATGATATACAACTTATTCACCAGCCACCCAGAATAGCATTAGACGTTGGTATACCCCCTTATTTTGCAATATATTACACGAATCCCCGTAAATCAAGGATTATCGGTGGTTCGTGACTGTCGCTATAATCCGTGGCACACTGTGGTGGATTGAAAACGCCTGGCAGACTGCAAACTGCCACAGTGTGTAGGGCCTAACGGAGAGCTGCAGAAGCGAAGTTGCAGGGAAAACGGGGCTTGCTATTTTTCCTGGTTTATGTTGCACACACGAGCCGTGCTGACACGATGTATTGAATATCAAGTCTTTATAATGCAATATATGGTTTAACATAAACCTATAGGCAGATTTGTGCCCATTTGGATCTGAGACAAAAATAACCACTCACTTGCCACACTTCCCCCGTCATCTGTAATTGTTTTTCTTATGGAGCCGCATGGCTAATTCACACCGCGTCGGCATGGAACATTTTTCACCGATTATAATTCTCACGTCCGCGGTGCGCCACAGATTGCAGAATCCCCAATATGGTCCCCCAATGTCAGACGTGGATCTTTGGATTCAAAAGAGCTGCTGTAGCTGCCTTTGGATATTGTCGTCACCGCAGCACGCTGGGCATGCACTGCAGTACGCTGGGCATGCACTGCAGTGAGTTTCCCGCGAGTTGCAGACCGGATTGCCTGGCAACTTCCATTTATAAATGGCTGCCAATTTATAAATACACTTTCGGGTGCCACGCAATATGCAAGTGGATGTATTGGCGGTACACCGGTGGTGCGTGGTATAAAATATATGAATAGTTATTTCCCGCGATTCGCAAACCCTGGTCAGAAATATTGTGGGGTGGTGATGGTGCGTCAAAATCAGTTCTCGTGATGTTGAAGCAGTTGAAAGACGAACGTTTATGAGCTGCTGAACACGAAGTCTCACAGTATGTTGCCAAATAGCAGCAGCCAGCGCGATGACGATTGGCTGCTCCGTGTTCCAAAGGCAGGGTTGACTCCTCGTGCCCGAGACTTGGTTGGACGGTTCCTCAATTAATTTCCGGAATAAATTATTGGCGGACGGTGGCATGAAAAGAGTATGACTTAATAACACACGTTCGAATAGGAAAGCAGCTGCTGAATCTAAGGCAACTTCTGATGGAGAGTCTGCAGCTCACTCGAGGGGCAACAGCGACATCGTCAGACTGCTTTATGAGGACCTCGGTGTGTTATGCTGCACCGGTGGACCGCCAATACGTCAATATGGAAAAAGTGAAGTTTCAGTGCTATTGGGTGACACCCTCCTCTCAATTTGTTACTTTTGGTGTAAAAGTCATAAACTGAGAATCTCGTTCTACCCTGTTCAGAATCACAGGTTGCTCAGCGTCTCCGCTTCTTCTTCTTCACTGCACCGTGACTGTTTATTGGCTCAATCTTGATTTGAAGCTTTTGTGACTGCAGAAATCCATACTCTTTGGTTCTTTCAGTAAAGTCACGTAGGTAGAAAAAAAATCAATAATAAATTACGGCGTTTCGATCGCAACACAAACAATCGTCATCAGGTAGAAATATACAGCTGTAGAACTGCGATCGAAATGTCGTAATTTATTATTTATATTTCTACCTATGTGACTTTTACCAAAAGAACTAAAGAGTATGTTTATTGGCTGTAGTATATTTTTCACCGCCGCTGTGCGGCCAGTACATCCTGTGGGATTGTTTTTAAACTCGGGCAAATAAATGAAACGACGAGTCCGTGACCTTGAAACCAACAAACTTTAAGTTTGAGCGGCACCAAAATACTTACGTTTATATTTGATCATCACGAACTCTTTTTCTCCCCGTTTGTTGTAGGACTTGTTCAACTACACAACACAGATTATATGAAAATTGTACTGAACGTTATTGCTGACATTTGTCACCAACTTTTCCCAATTATCTCTCATTGCTTTCTGTCATTGTCTTAGTCTTTGCATCAGGTTGCTCAGTCGCATAATGTTGGACAGTCAACATGGCACGTGCAGCACGTATCACGTGCAGTGGGTGTGGGAAAAAGGAGACACGGTCATGTTGGAATTCAGTGGTCTGTGTGTACGCTACCTTGCAGGGCATGAAAAATCAGGATAACAGCTTGCTGATGGTGCCCCCGATGATTGCGTTGGAAACTGTTGCGGACTCTATCCAGGAAAGTGACAAGGACAAGGATATCCACCGCACCTTCTACACAGGCCTGCAAGTAAATACCGCACGCTCACATCGAGGACCTGAGTGCAAAATTAAACGCTTCGAAAGATGTGAGAGCGACGAGCACATGCAGAGCTGGGATAGTTAGAGTGCTATGAACTGCATGTAATCATTGGGAGCCCTTAAATTAATCACTGGCTCAAAAACATTAGCGTTTCAGTGGGGAGACAACTTAACTTTTGAAGATCTCAAAGGATCTGTGGAAAAGACCAAGACAGGGTGTGGACTAACATATAGCCTCGTGCTGAACATTATGCTGACGAGTATTGTAAGACTGATCACGCTCTCATCTCGTGAATTGGCATGTCACACTTGATATGAATAACAAATATAAATACTAAAATATTGAAAACTGAAATGAATACCGTCCCATTCGATGTGTTGATTATTGTCTTCATTGTTCTAAAGTCAAAGTTATTTCCTGATGCTCAAACAAGCATTGAGGCGGTGCTCATCTCCTGTTTACAGTCCTAAGCCAGTGTTGGGAAATCCACATTTCTATGGCAAGGTGAGTCTGTCCTGAGGAAAACCGCCATTGACTTCTCCACAAAGTGGCACTTATTTTATATCAATATTGGAGAGAAGATGGGCTGAGTCATTCGTCCCCCTAATCAGGATTTGAAATTTGTTGCAACCTTCCGCTCTATTGCTGAGCAACCTCGTCGGCATATTATTTGAGCGGAGTATTGTCTCTAATCTCATAATTGTTCAAGCGGAGGCTTTCTTTTCACTTTGCAGGTTTTAAATAACTTTGTGAGTGATGTAATGGACATCCCAAAGGGAGGCCCTTACATGCGGGATGGAAAGAGGCGGGTTGACTTCGTGTTGGCGTACCACTTCAAGAGGCACAGATCATTTCCTGGGAGCCCAACAAGTGAAGAAAACACTGCAACAACTTTGGAAGTCATCACTGCTCCAGCTGAGAAGTTGGAAACTGAAGACGAGTTGACCAAACGCACACGTTCCAGAAAGACGTCCGTGTTGGAGGAGGGCAGGGAGACGGGACTCAGCAGCCACCACCTTCTGGAGAAAGAGCAGATGATTTGCCGGGAGGAATTTGAGCAAAACTTAATGGATGCCAGACTTGAACTGGAATGGGATGAGGAAGTAAGTGTTTTCGTTTACACGAATATATTGAAGCATTGACGGTGGTTGATGATGTGTGCCAAACTTGCTGAACCAAAATTATCGTTGCTCCTGCCAGTTGTGAGGCTACCACGTTATATCCTCTGTATCACAGGTGTGCAATTTTATGCATAGACAAAGACCCCCCCGTATAGCCTGTAACAGACTGTTGGGACAAGGACTGTTAGCGGGCATCTATGAAGGCCGTAACGGCACACAAATACTCATTTGAGGCTGAGTCGACCTATGGGAGGCCCATGACCGGTTCAGATAATCGTCGCCAGGTTTGTAGCACAGCGCACTGACCTCTGCGCTACATGTAAGACGGGCATGCAACTGGGCGTGTGTGTGGATGTCGCTCTTATTAGGACCAGGCGGAGGGACATGGATACCTGCGGATCCATGCACCCTGGTTGGTCCTCATCAGGGAGGCCGAATTCCTCAAAATCAAGATGCCTACTAAGAAGGTGCGTTAACCAGCCTGTTCATAGACAGCTATAAAAAGAGATCCAGAGTTTATATGGTTCTTAGAACGTGACAAACCGATCCGTTAATTGGCATGTTCTGTTTACGTGACAAAACTTACTAATTGGCTGTGTTGGGTATTGGCGGGTTTAACGACAAATTTATATTTACGCGATCTAACCATAAAACCTGTATTATGTTTGATATTGGTCGCGAAAGCCTACTTGTTAAACCGTCTGTGTCATGTATATTTTATATAATGCATTTTGAATGTCGACTAAAAAAAATCGATATAAAATCCCACCAATATATTTTTAAATCAGCTCAATCAGATCGTCATTTTTTCTGTGAACATCCAACCTCTCACCACACGCTTCTGCGGCAAAATTCATGAATCGTTAATTTAAGATTTTTCTCGGAAAGTTTGCAACTCAAGAGCCTCGGGAAAATAATCAATTCCCGCCAATTCATCGCCACCCTTCGGGGCCAGAAAGTTGTGGCAGGAGGGTTAAATCCAGGAAGAGCCTCTTACGACATCGGAAAATAACTACGAGAATACTTCGTATGGTAAACACAACACGATAATGCAATTGCTGTGTTGTGGCACTGTGCATCCAGGTGTTTGAGATGAAGCAATCGTCGGGAGTGCTGCACGGGCTCGGTGCAAGAATCAACCATGCGCTGCAGCCCAACGTGCCTCATTCGCAGGAGGCTCTGTCCCAGAAGAAGCTCTCGTTCCCTTTCTCCAGAGACAAGCAGAAGCTGTGCGTGTGACATCATTCATAGTTTGCACGACCAAACATTGCTGTATTTGTTGAAGAAAATGTATTCTAAGCTCCGGATTAATTCTACGTTAAGTGATCCCAATATCTCTGCACGGGATGTATCGCCTTGTTTCAATAGCCACTTGCACGTTTATTAAATTATTGGAAAATTGTAAATACTTAACGGAATCCAAGCAAAGAAAATACAAGCTGCAATTTTTGGGAAAACAAATCCAAGGCCTGGCTTTCCTGTTTGTGCATTTAGTAGCAAATGAAACCTGAATTTGGCAACGTTATGTAAACACTCCAAAAAGGCAATACCGATCGGCATGTTTCAACATTGGATACATTTTAATTACATTCAGAAAGTTCACCATGGGCTTAATGTGGTGGTTTTAGGCTGTTATGTGAATTGGTCGGGATGAAATGTATACCATAAGTTTTTCAGGTCAGGAACTTCCGGTTTTGAGATATGTCCACTCTAATTTATATCTGATGAGGATTAATTATGCTAAGGTATATATCTATATACTGTATCATATTAACTTGCTTGTCTTTATGCAATGTATTGGGGTTTTTGTTGTTGCAGATTTGATATCAAAAGTGAAGATTCATTCTTTGACAGTGCCACGCGAAGCCGCATTGTAAGTTTTCAATGGTGTGAACCAAACAAAATTGAAAACAATTAAACATACACCTTATATGAATAATTTAAGTAATTTTAAGCTTACATGTTTTTGATCAGAATATTCTTTATCCCGGAGAAATCCGATGACCGTTGAAGCTCTTTTTCACAGCTGTCCAGTAGGGGGCGGGTCAGAAAGTTACAACAAACATGTCTTAATGTATTATTGAACATGACAGCAAAAACATGACGTAAGTCTGACCTTTATCACATGCTTTATTTTCCTTCACAAAATACTTAGTATTCTGTTTGTAAAAGGTTCTTACTTGAGCCGAAATATTATACCGAATGTTTAGCAGTATTGCTGGTTTTAATGAGCAAAAGCGTTGCACGGTAAAATATCAGACTAACATTTATCAAAGCAGTTATGACTCAAATTTATACATTTTTGTCTAGTGACATAGTATAATGCATCTCAAGCAATGAAAATCGAACAGTTAGGTTTATATATTATTCTTATTAATTTGCAGTTAATTCTTTTCTGGCATTTAACAAAAATATATGTTCACCATGGGGGATAGGGATCCATGTTTTTTTTCCAATCAACCAGGAGGCCTCATTGGTCGCTGCGACAGTGACTGCGGGAAATGCAGGGATGAGTAAGGGGCCAGGAGATTGGCCAATTAATTCAAAAGGGAAAAAAGTGGGAAAGGAAGAACGGGATCTGGAGGCGAAGAAAGAGAAAGAGGTGAAGAGAGGATTGGTGATTGAGGGAGCTAGGGTGAAGGTTAGGAGTAATTTTAGAAAGTTCAGGAAGGAGAGGAGATGTATGGGCGCGTTTCGTGAGCACGGGGATAACCAAGGGAGAGACGTGCGGCGGAATATATTGGAGGACGAGTGCACGCATGGTGTTGAGTACTATTGGGTGAATGTAGCATTCATGGGAAAGCAATTTAATGTGACACTGTGATAGAACTGCATTAGTGTTTTAAACTTTTATCTCACACGTGCAACTATTACAAGTTAAGTTAAATCTCACCGATAACTTTTCCTAGACCCCATGTAAAATATTTGGCAACGTTTATTGTGAAAACAGCGACAACATTGCAAATGTACATCTGCAGTCATGTGTTGCAAAATGTAAACTCACAAATGTGTCGATACTGCTCCTGTCTATCTCACAGGTCTTTGAAATTCTGAAAAGGGTCAAATGCACCAAAGGGCCTTACAAAATGGGTGAGTTCGTGTCAATATTGGCCATATCTACGTAAATTTCCAAAATGTTTCAAATACTGATTAATTTTAGCTTATAGTCAAAATTAGTCAAAACCTGTTCCGGGAATCATTATTCGGCAATCACTCTATTCGAAATAGGGAGGAGACAAACCCGATTTGAAGGATTACATGCCCACCAGCCTCCTGTCACGCACATCATTCACATGTCTCATGGAACTGAATGATGGATAAATGTTGAGGCCATCCAACCAATGAGCAAGCTGGAGTTAGGTTAAGGTCTTTTCCACCAATTACCACATCCCATCAATCAAATCCTGCACAAGACATACATACCAAATACTTTTATGCCCAGCTTATCAATTGAGAAAAGCCATTTGGTTCAGTGGAAGAGTAAGCCCAGCTCAATGCCAAAACAATTTACAAAACGGCACGGCTACGTTGAGGTCGCATGAAGAGAGTGGAAAAATACAAACAGAAAGTGAAGTCGGGCAAGGAGATGTGCTCTTACAAAGGTTTAGTCTTGATTTGAAGCTTTCGTGTCTGCAGGAATCCATACTCTCTGGTTCTTTCGGTAAAGTCACGTAGATAGAAAAAAAAAGAAAACACGATGTTTCGGTCACAACACAAGCGTCCATCTTCAGGTGAGAAAAAAACTTTACAAAGATTATTTACAACCGCGGATATTTCTCTACAATGTAGAATTAAAGGTTTAACAAACACGATTGAAGAAATGTTCTGCTAAGATTAGCCAATGACACAGTCGTTGTAAAAAGTAGCAAACATTAATGACCAATATTACTTCATAAACACGATGTGGAGCGAGGGCACTACTTTCAGGCAGTTCTGGTTGGAAACAAAATGAGTAGAATAAAAGCAGGAAGTAGTGCCCTTTGGAAAGTTTAACATGTTAATGAAAAGGAGTGTGCGATAATTTGTTCAAGCAGTGCACACTGCATGCCATGACATGCGGACACTGACGGAGAAAACGAAACAAAACTGAAAAGTGCAAAGAATTCATGCAGACACACGCTCGATATTATCACTGAGAGACAAAAAAGGGGAACACGTGGATCGGTGAACACGCCCAAGGCAGAGACGTCATGTTAAGGAAAGTGAATGGACTTGGGCAGAACACATCGCTAGATGGGATGATGGTCATTGACTGATAGAGCCGATGGATTAACAGCCAAAGGTGAGAATACTTCTAAGAGGACCACTGCCGAGGCAGATGCAGTGATGAGATCCGTTCGTGTGCAGGAGTGCGATGGATGGCAGCACCGCTGGTCTGTGAGGGATGACAAACAGCTTGGGGAGGTCATCATCCAGCAGTGAATAGACAATGGCCGGTGATGGTGAATCTGTCTTTTTTTCATATTTTTGCAGGCATCACGAGTCTTATCGCCAACGGAGTGTATACATCTGCATTCCCGCTGCATGACGTAAGTAAAGCCGAGTCTCAAGCAGTGCATGTCGTTAATGCAGACATGATTCCTTGCAAAAGTTTTAGTTTGGTGTTTTAACATCTTAACACCTGTTTTATTGCCAGAAAGGGGAAAACCCTATTATCATCTCCTGTGGAGTATCTCATTATTCGGCAATTTACTACAAAGCTGTGCCACAGTACTGTCGTTTCTGTTCGAGGCATGGAAACATCCGGGATTTGATTACCAGTTGTCATAGCCCACCGTCGTTCTGCGTGCGGTCGGCATGATGCTCAATATTTATCTTCATGAACTGGGAGGTTCGCGCTTTTTTTTTCAATATTTTTTTCTAGACGAGCTTGATTTAAAGCGCTCTGGAAAGAGAGTATGTTTGCTGATCTTCAGGGATAGTTCGTGATTATAGAATGCCTTCCCCAATGACCTAAATTTACTTTGATTAATGTTTATAATCCACCCCGTTTTTGCACCGGGGTGTTATGCGGGATATTATGTACAGCAATTGAAGATGCCTTTGTATCCAGATACCTTCTAGACTGAAATTAATATTGATGTTACTTCTGGAATGCTCTGCGTGGATGTCTGACAAACCAATAAATACGTAGAGTTTAACGCACATGCTGTTTTTGCACAATTGTATCTGCTGCCCTATGAAGTTGTTTGGATTATACTGTAACTACACGGTACTGCAATAGCCTGTGCTATAGCATACGAAGTTATCACAATTGAAGTATGGTATGTAAGTGGGTCATTGTCCTATTGTCTTGTTCCTGGCTTATGTAGAGTCCTCTATTGCACTGGAGTGATGTTGTTGTAATATTTGTTGGTGATGATTGCAGGGAGAGCTCCATGGCAGTGAAGTGAACGACAGAAAGGTATTGTTGCGTTTTTGGGTGCCGTACATTTCTGGCGAGTTCTCTGCACCTCCAGCCGAAATCCCCATTGCAGCTTTACAGTCTGTTCTATAACGCCGTAGTTGCGTTCCTGAAGAATATCGCGTTATAATAAATAATATACTCTATAGGGTAAATAAATAGTCCGCGATAACACGTGAGATGCGTATGCAGGCTGAACAAAGACTGCGTAGCATCTACAAGCATGCAGCAGCATCCCACAGCCCCGTGTGAGTCTACGCCGAGGCAGCTGCTACAACTGCTTAGCTCCACTCGCGCGACGTACTTTACATTCACTCGATCGCGTTATATCCAATTAGCATCCGCGTTATAAAAAAATGTGTCCCTAATACACTAATAGATTAACGTTATATATCCAATTCGCGTTATAAAACACGATATAGGCGAACAGACTGTATCTGAGATTTTGTGTGAAAGGTCCAAGGTCTTATGGCCGCACCGTAACACCGACACGTTAGAGAAAAAAAACCTCCAACTTTTTTAAAGAAGTGATGTCTTTCACAAATTTAAACTTTTGAAACCTATGAATAATATCGACTAATGTTGAGGTACACTGCATGAGTCAGTAGCGATGTCCTTGTCCGCTCATTGTGTTAACAGTCATGAACACAGATACGACTGTATTGTATTCATAGACGGTTAATACAGTCGCTTTACTTTTTCAGTACAACGATGACTTCAGAGCGTTTGTAAGACTGGTTTGCATTGATGTACAGTAGACCCTCGATTATCCACGCTAACGACGGGGAGGACGGCCGCAGATCATTAAAAATATATAAATTTTCTGCAGATCTCTATACATAGGTTTACATTAAGAACAAATACTAACGATCGGCCGATCGATGCACGTGCTCATTGGTAACACTTTCCTGCGCATAAGACTGCCCACTAAGTGGACAGCAGCAGAGCCACGCCAATAAACAGCAAACTCTGCCCACTTTTGTAAATATATTTCAACTACTGTACTGTAGAGGCGATCACGTGTATTTTGGATTAGCCGGAGCACATATTTGTTTAGTTTAAGCACTGTGTGACTTGTAATAGACATTTCGAAGAATAAAATTGTATAACTTTTAAGATTATTCATTTGGGCTGAAGGGAAAATTCGTGAGTTATTAATTTGTCAAAATCTCAGGTGTGCGGTGAATCTGCAAATCGAATAAACCACACGCGGATAATCGAGAGTCGACTGTAATTGCTTTAATTGTAATAGCACTTGTAATAAACCAGTGCCGTAGTGTGGATATTTGCAATTGTGCCGGAAATCATGTTTTGAGACGTGACCAAACTCGAATATGATCAATGTGCTCCTGTGCAGCTGCTACACGATGAATGGGCCAGCTATAACAAGTTCTACAAGTACCAGCCACTTGAACTCATCAAGTAAGGGTTTTCTTTGTGCCATAGCGGCTGTTTATTTTTGTGCATTTGTTTGCAATCCGACAAATCACACGTGCAAGATACTAAGGTAGACAGAGAGAGAGGGTGGCATTCGTCCCTCTTGTCATCTCTGTGATGAGCAGACCAATGATTACTCTATAGGAGTAATTTGTTGACCCACGCTCCATCAGGGAAAAAGATCAGTGATTTGAGTTTTCATGTGGACAAAATAATTACAGTGAGAAAATGTTACAGATCCAAATGGTATCGATATTATGTTATCCCTCATCACTATAGTTTTAAATCTTTGCATGTCTTGGCTTTCATACCTAGCAAAAAGTATGATTTTAAACAGCAGTCAGCAGTAGCCAAAAAAGGTTGAGAATGGCCGCTGTAGACAATCTGAGCTGGTGTGGGGTGGTGCAGGCCTCTTTATTCAAGCACTTTTAGAAGCGGGGGGGTGGGGGGGGCTGAATCAACAGAAATTGCTGCAAGACCCAGACACCCCGCAGTGCGGTGCCAAGGAGATGGCAGGACAACAAGCAAGCTGCTCACCGATCTGAATAAATGTTTAATTTTATCTCCATTCATGTGTTTATTTTGTTTCTCCTAATATGTCAGTTTCCTCCACGATGCAAAATGACTTATATTATTGGGCAAACATTCATTGTGCTAAAAATAAGTCTTGAGAGTCATTTTTTCAGTAAAGGGGTACTGAGTTACTCATGATTAAGAATCATCTTTCCTCGGTCAGTTGAGACCTCACCTATCACATGACGAACACGCATGATATGGCAAAGGGTGATATCACCTGCAATCAGGAAGGGATTTGCACGTGTTTAAGTTTAGGTGAGCAATGTGACCCATGTTTTAATTTCCTATTTTAGTTCATGGCTTTTCAGTTTGAAGTTCAATTCAATTGCGGAAATAAGATATTTAATTTTATAATGATGTTGGGATTGATATTCATTCTCCAAGTTTTACTTTTTATTATGCCTGATTGTCTTCCAGATGGTTAAAATGTTTTCACATTTCAGTCACTCATCACTAATGCTTAACGGTGAAGAGTACACGTGAATAATTCTGATAAAACATGAATAATGGAAAAGGGCATGTTTTTATTAAATTAGAATTATATGATTGTATATGTATGACACAAATATTACACATATCAAGAAATGCCTGGGTTTGATCCTATACTAGGGTGCCTTTCTGTGTGGAGTCTGTACGTCCCACCCTTGTTATCCTTTTGTCTCTATCGGTTTCCTCCCAGATAAAAAAAAAACATACATTCTAACTGGTACTGTCCAAACGTCCCAATGCTGAAAAGTTTGCCTGCACATTCCTCAGTTGGGTTTACTCAGCAACCCCGACTCCAAAAAACTTGGCAGGACTCTCCTGAAATAGTGTTGAGACTAGGTGAGGCTTTCCTGGGTAAACAAACAAAATTATATTAATACAAATATATAACGTCCACTACATTAATAGAATAAGTATTCAAATGCATGAGTTGCCACATTGTTGAACATAAAATTGTGTCTTATTATATTTCAGGAAATATTTTGGAGAGAAGATTGGCCTCTACTTTGCCTGGCTCGGAGTGTACACGCAAATGCTTATCCCTCCTTCCGTGGTGGGAATCGCGGTGTTCTTGTATGGCTGGCTTGCTGCTGAAAAAGACATTCCAGGGTAATTACATCTTATATTTTCACAATCTTGCAAAGGTGTCTTTCTATTGCCATCAGGTAAACTCCAAAACAAGGTTCGTTGTGCACTTAATATTTATCACCCATGGGCTTGCAACAGGATCACCATCACAGTCATTTCTTATACATTTCCGATAAGTTTCCTGCTGGGCAGATGTGTTTTGGGCAGTGAAATGTTACTGTTGTAAATGTACATCTTGACTCGACTATTCATTAAAAAAACGAAAGTAAATTTACGTCTTTTAAAGTGTTATGGTTTCGTTTTACTCAGTAGTGCTCTGTTTACCCTCCGGTAATGCGATGTCACGTGACAGATTCGAGACCTGTGTGATTGGCCAGAACATCACAATGTGTCCCACGTGTGACAAACTGTGCAAATACAAGCGCCTCAGTGAGAACTGCGATCGAGTGAGAAGTAGCCACCTGTTTGACAACATCACCACCGTCTTGTTCTCCATCTTCATGGCCCTCTGGGGTGAGCATATTTCAGAATTTTCACGTAAAAATGTGTTGTTAGTTTTCACTGGTATTCATACTCGATTACATCAAAGCATGCTGATTTGTTTTATGGAGGCCCTGTTTCATGTGTTTAAGGAAAGGTAATTTATCTTGATATTTTGTACAAAAAAGGTAATTTTTTACTATTTTGCAATTACGTGGTCATTTCTGTGCCAACAAATAGACAAACCAGTTAATTCCCATACTCTTTGGTTCTATTCGGTAAAGTCACGTAGGTAAAACAATGAAACAACAAAAATCACGACGTTTCGGCTACAACACAAGTGGCCTTCATCAGGTGAAGGGGACCGTACTGTCACGAGGACAGCGTTGGAGTGAAGACAGTCCAGCCCAGGTTGTGTCCTTTTAAGCTTGTGGTCGCGGCATCTTTTGAGGAAGGTCAGCGTTTCGATGAGCTGTGACTTCTTGTCCCGTTGTCTGTTGAAAGCTCTAACAGATAGGTGAAAGCCCTCCCCGTAGAGGTTATCAATTCTAGATTTGCAGCTTTTTGACTGCAAGGATCCATACTCTTTGGTTCTATTCGGTAAAGTCACGTAGGTAAAAATAAAACAACAAAAATCACGACGTTTCGGCCATAACACAAGTGGCCTTCATCAGGTGAAGGGGACCGTACTGTCACGAGGACAGCGTTGGATTGAAGACAGTCCAGCCCAGGTCGCATCCTTTTAAGCTTGTGGTCGCGGCATCTTTTGAGGAAGGTCAGCATCTATGAGGAGGGCTTTCACCTATCTGTTAGAGCTTTCAACAGCCAACGGGACAAGAAGTCACAGCTCATCGAGACGCTCAATGCAATTGGGAAATGTAAACCAGCTTCTCTTTTTTTCGTGTGATAAAAATCGTAACATGTGTGGTATATTAATGTCTCGCGTTACAATGATTAATGGGCCCTCACATTCGGGCGAAGTCTTCACCAGTGCATGTTACTCTCAACAATCTGTCTTATAAAGTGTTATTTTTATCTTTACCAATGTATTCTTATCCCCTATGATAGAAAATATTGCTTGCATTTGAATAACATGGCCGAAAGCCATGCCTCGTTTCAGGTGTATTTTGTGGCTTGGCTTCTATTCCATCCGTAACTTTGGCTTTCGGCCATTTTATTCAAATGCAAGCAATATTTTCTATCATAGGGGATAAGAATACATTGGTAAAGATAAAAAGAACACTTTATAAGACAGATCGTTGAGAGTAACATGCACAGGTGAAGACTTCGCCCGAGTGTGAGGGCCCATTAATCATTGTAACGCGAGACATTAATATACCACACATGTTACGATTTTTATCACACGAAAAAAAGGGAAGCTGGTTTACATTTCCCAATTGCATTGACCTAATTTACGTGATAAAATGCAACAAAAAAATATTCAAATAATTAATGTACATTGATGAGTGTGCAAAGAATTAGTAAACCCAATCGCCAATTGTACCAAGTGATCAAATGTTAGTGGTACAGGTGGTCATTGGTGTTGTAGCACACTGGTCATGCAATACAGAGCATACACGCATCATTTTACCTTCTGTTCTCATCTCACAACCCGTTGCTCATAGTGGATACCTTACATAGCACACAGCGTACACAGTGTGGACATGAGATATGGGCTCAGCCTTCATGCCAGAGTGGTCACACTAAAGTGGTCCTGTATCAGCTTTCTGCCTGCCTATCGATATCTGCAACTTTTGAAAGGAGGCCCTCTAGCGAAAACATAGCTATTGCAGCATGAAGCTCTATAGCTCTGGAAAAGACCAACAATGAATTTAAATTACCATTGTACCTGGCCATTGTAGACTATAAAAACACATTCAACTCCCAAGAAAAACATAAAAAAAACATTTTTAACAATGGAACAGCCACACTAAGATTTCATGATGAAAGTCTCAACATGCATATTAAAAAGGGAGACAATATCTTTTCAGAACATTGGATTTGAGAAACAAAGGCATACATATTAATGGAGATAACAATTCACAATCTTAGATTTGCTGACGTTGCAGTCATTATAACGTCCAGCAGGAATGAACTGCAGGTTGGTGAAAAGGGTTGTAAGTGGGCAGGATCTTTTCCTATCTTTTTCCATTTATATATTTTATTTCAAACATTTTGTTGTGCAGACATTCTTGTTTGAAAAAAAAGAGGCTGATGCTAAAGGTTACACAGCCGTGGCTGGACAACACTCACACAAGTGAGAGTGTACCCCTGCATTGAAATTACAGGGACTCCTCTACTTACTCACATTCTACTTACGAACTTTCAGAGATACGAACAAACCTGTGAGTATGTCCAGTTGCCTGTTCGAAGAGAGTAGAGAGGAAACACGAGCACCAAAGGGAATTTGATTCTACATCTATAGAACATAAAGAACCAGTGGCATCTACAGGAGATTATACAACTTTTCAAGCCATTCTCCGTGTTTAGTGTAAACGTCGTACAACGTGTTTGGAATCGACAGGAGTAAAGTTGGACTTATGAACAAATCGTCTTACGAACAGAATATTGGGATCTAACTCGTTCGTAAGTAGAGGAGTCCCTTTAATGAACACGTGATGGTGCTCATCTCCCTTGGCAGTCCTGCGCCAGTGGTGGAAACTGCACAACGCAGCACTGTCATCGTTTCAAATACGCTACGATCATAAATTGTCACAATGGCCTGAGAACAATGAATTGAGCCCCCACCCTGTCTGTTTAAATGTTAAAGATGCAGGTCACAGCAACCCTGGTCTCCATGGTTAGATAACGCCACAATGAAAACACAACTCACTTAACATCCACACGTCTTTGCGCCCACGACGTCCATCACGTCACCAAATTGAGAATGTGACTTGTACAGCTGGTTGTCGTCGAGGATCGAGTTACCGCGTTGCACTCGCAGGCTGAGTGCGTTGGCAACAGTAAGACGTGTGTACACATTTCAATCAGAAGCACAGAAAAAAAGCTATTGATGATTAACAAAGACAAAAGAAGACTGTTATATGCAATATTTTTACATTTATTTTGTAATGACGTTGTCTAACCCTAAACGTATGTTACGTTTATTCATCATTGTTTAGGGGGATGTCTGTGCAGTGTATGATATGTTGCGAGCTGTACCTTAAGATGCATCACGTTTTGTCTGTTCTGTAGCAACCACTTTTTTGGAGCACTGGAAACGAATAGAGACCCGCCTCAATTACACATGGGATCTCAATGGCATGGAGGAGAGTGAGGTGAGATCGACCTGGTGGCGAGATGTTTTAACTACCTTGCCTGGTATATAAGAGATAGTGGGTTCGATCCCGACCCTGACGTCTGCTGTATATTTGAAGTTTGCATGTTCTTCCCGTGGTTGTGTAGATTTTGCTCCGGTTTTTCCCTGCGTTTACAGTATTTGTCTAATATAAATTTCGACACGATAAGCCACACATCTTTGAGCTATCATTTTTGATAGCCAGGTCGCTTCTGAAAAAGAGCTATATAGCTCAGTGGGACCTTACCTGGTAAAATAAAATAGAAACAATTTGTGTTTCTGCCATGTAACCACTGAGTCCATACTGAAACACACGATGGCCATATTTAATGGCAGGATTCGGGAATCCCCCCTATAACGCTGGATGATCCACGTTTCTAACAATCCCATGGTTCCATTAGCATTGGATCCCGTGCCAAATACTGATTGGTGAGGAATGATGGGAATCGCCCAGCACTAACCAGCATGCTAAATTGAAAACAAGAATAAACCATCCATTTGATAAACGTTGGCATTGTTTTATAATAATAGGTTATAATTCCTAGACTTGATTACATGCTATTTTATGTACAATCAGGTTATTATTCTTTTTGGAGGTTGTTAAAATAAGTAGCATTTTCTGGGTAAGTGGTTATCTCTTAAGGGAATGTGTAAATTCCAATAGTGGCTCATTCTTTCCATTGGAATATGCAGGTCTTCGGATTTCCTGTATAAATGAACCATTAACATGTCTTATGAACCCACGTAGATAATATGCAACGCTTTGGGCAAAGGCCCTTCTTCGTAGCACATCATAGAGAGGATAAGAGACTGCATTTTACACCATGGAGCCTCGTAAGAATAATGTTTAAAAATGTTCTGATGTAAAGTTTTTATTGATGAGTTTTTTGGTTTTTTATGCTTGTGCACATCTTCCATGACAATATCATCAAATAATGTTTCCAATATATTTACAATAATACATATACGTACACTCTTACACAGGGTTGATGGTGGTTTTTTTTTTGCACCCAGTCTAACTAGCCGGACCAGCCTGGCTCGCCGAGGTTTTGCTGTGTTATCATCCGTAAGTTATATTATAACCACAGGCTGCTTGCGTTATTTTTCCATCAGCAACAACTTCGGCCGGAGTATGAAGCCAAGCTGCTGGAAAAGAAAAGGAAAGTTGACATCAAGCTTGCAAAAACACAGGTCGGTCAAAGCCTATTTGTACTCATTTAATTGAAATACTTTGAGATGAGAATAATTAAACGTCATCATCATTCTCCTCAGCAGCTGCCAACAGTTCACTCCTGGGTGACGGCCACACCATGTCCTAATCAGCCTTCATCGTCCAGCTGATGCCACTATTATGCCTTGCTCCTCCAGACGAGCGCCCATCGCTCCTTGTTCCTCAATGGTCATGCTCTCCTCATGCATGTTCACTCTTTTGGCTGCCATTCCATCACCAGTCTCGTCCGTTGGTCATCTTCTTTCATTACGTATGCGATGGGTGTACGTCGAATTTCTTTCGCACCGCCGTACATAGCGAGCCGTGCGAAGCGGAGCTGCAGTGTTGAGTCGATGGGAATTGTTGAATCTGTGAGTAGCGTTATTCTATGGGCAGTATGCATGTATATATGTGTTGAACTTCTTTCGCGCCGTGCATAGCCAACCGTGCGAATCGGAGGTGCGGCTGGCTACGTACGACCAAAGCCTATTTACATCTCTTTTTATCCGTGTAAATCACAGCACGCATCTATGCATATTTGTATTCCATTTTCCTGGAGTAAATGTTACATAAATGTCACCTATTAAGAAATTTCAACACAAACCAAAAGTAATGTATAGTCATCTTTGGTTCTTTCAGTAAAGTCACGTAGAATGAGAATAAAATAATAAAATTGATAAAATAAAATAACACAATAAAATTCTCACGACGTTTCGGCCACAACACAAGCGGCCTTCATCAGGTGAAGGGACGAGACTGTCTGGAGGACAGCGCTGGAGCGGACCAAGCCACGCTCAGATCGCGACCTTTAATCTGTGTGAGAAGAAACAAAGCGCCTTGACAAAGGAATTAGCATAGAATTTAGCAATGAAATAGCTGAGTGATTAGCTTGTGACTGGTCACAGAAATGGCTATGTTAAAGTCAAAGCATACACATCCACAGAGGCACCCCTTGACAAAGGAATTAGCATAGAATTTAGCATTGAAATAGCTGAGTGATTAGCTTGTGACTGGTCACAGAAATGGCTATGTTAAAGTCAAAGCATACACATTCACAGAGGCACCCCTTGACAAAGGAATTAGCATAGAATTTAGCATTGAAATTGCTGAGTGATTAGCTTGTGACTGGTCACAGAAATAGCTATGTTAAAGTCAGCATACACATTCACAGAGGCACCTAGTACAAATCTTAATACCTCTCAAATCACGGTTAATGGTATGGTTTACAACATGGAGTATAACAGCGCCTCGCAGCTGTCTCTCTCCCCCTCCTCCGTTCCGACCATGGATGAACTCGTCCGTCTGAATGGGGCCCGTAGCTATCCGTGGTGCTAAAGTTGAGGGTAAGAATCCACCCATTTTTTCACCATATTGTATTGTGATATATAACGACTTATTGTTGGTAGCTTAGCTGATTGGAGAATATATAGAGTTTATTGATAACATTGAGGTAATTTATATTTTAGTTTTTTATTGGTTCACTATATAGTATTCATTATATAGTGTAGTGTATACCCAGTTACTGTCAATAGCTCAGATGTGTAGGCTTTGACTTCAACATAGCCAATTCTGTGACCAGTCACAAGCTAATCACTCAGCTATTTCAATGCTAAATTCTATGCTAATTCCTTTGTCAAGGAGTGCCTCTGTGGATGTGTATGCTTTGACTTTAACATAGCCATTTCTGTGACCAGTCACAAGCTAATCACTCAGCTATTTCATTGCTAAATTCTATGCTAATTCCTTTGTCAAGGCGCTTTGTTTCTTCTCACACAGCTTAAAGGTCACGATCTGAACGTGGCTTTGTCCGCTCCAGCGCTGTCCTCCAGACAGTCTCGTCCCTTCACCTGATGAAGGCTGCTTGTGTTGTGGCCGAAGCGTCGTGAGAATTTTATTGTGTTATTTTATTTTATCAATTTTATTATTTTATTCTCATTCTACGTGACTTTACCGAAAGAACCAAAGAAGATGAATCCTTGCAGTCACGAAAGCTTTAAATCGAAATTTAATGTATAGTCATTTATATTTTTAGAAGCTGCAGGAACCGTCAAAAGACTTGCACAATAACCGCTGGAAGAACAAGGCTGAGACCATCATGACGGGCAGCAGGATGGTGAGGAGTATGATCCGATATGTAGGATGAAAGTGATGCAGCATAAAACCACATTTCATTATCATTGACTTGAAATGTTACGTGTGTAATGATGTGTGCATGTCTGAGTGTGTATGGGCCATGTGGAGTTAATATGCCAGCCCTGGCAGAGACTGTATTATCAGAGACTCAGAATCAGAATATTTATTCATATTGGAGGAATCCGATAAGCTATACAGCCCTTTTTTACAGACGTCCAGTAGGGGTGGATCAGAACGTTACAACAACAAACAAAAAAACACGACAGACGTTCAAAGTATAGGGAAGGTAAACAAATCACAAAGAAATACAAATAAAACGAAACTATTTTTATTTTACCAGGTAAAGATCACTGAGCTTTTAGTTTATTTTTTAGAAGCTACCTAGACACAAATGATAGTTCAACAAAGTGGGTTACCATGTGGATATTTATAGCATCCAAAGAATCTAAATAATCTAAATGCTAACTCTATGCATAAGTTAAGTGGGCGTGTGTATTCGTGTTGTGCGAGTACATGTATTATATAAAGGAGATCTCCATTTATCCGTGAGCATTGTAGGGTTCATGAAAACCCATATTACCCGCAACCCTTTTCCTATTATCCACAAATAGGGTTATGATCTGTTTGTGTGTCTTTGCGTGTATCTATGTCTTTGTCTGTCTCCCTCTTTGAGTGTCTCTGTGTCTTGTCTCTAGTTCTGTGTATTTATGTCCCCATCGTTGTCTCGCCTTGTGACAGAGAGACTCGGATATACAGAAAGACAATCTTAGTAAAAACAGCATGTTGTGTACATGCTGTGCTTCAAAGACCCATTGCAGTGCAACTCCTATTACTTGTGATATTTTTGCGGATCATTATATCCACGGTATTGGTCCCCCATATCAAAACGAACAAGAGCAGTTCTGTATATGTGTATATGTGTTTGGGCATGCACTTGCCAGGACCTCCTTACTCAGCCGCACGAGAATGTTAGGCAGCCCCCTCTCCTCCACCACTGTTGGGGCTATGGTTGCCACCCTCGGGTTTGACCTGGGCAGTCTGGCAATTGGTATTTGTGTTTGCGTTGCAGAGATGGATTTGTAATGAGATCTGGTGGTATTGAGTTAAACTGTATTACAGGATGCTGCACACTTTTGATAATAGACCTAGCCTGAGAAATACTAATACGTCTGGGTTTGGTCTACAGTGGAAAAAGTGGTGACCCTATTCAGGGCCATACCCTCATCTGCACCCGAGTTTAAAGTGCCACTTCACAGCAACGGTTGAGGTGGAGTGGAATGCGAACACCCAGTGGTGAGAGCAGCTGCTCATGAATGATAAATGGTGGAATTTGGCCAATACAGGCCAGGATTATGCCACAACCAGACACATTAGCTGGTGTAAATTGTCTATGAATTGCGCCCTGTGAAACGTTATCTTACATATGCAGATACACGTCTATGCTTTTGTAAAAACACTTTTTTTATATTTATGACATTTGACAACAAAACTGTGTATTAATGACAGTTTTTAAAAGTGCACATCTGCAGCTTGACATAGCCAGATTATACAGAATTCTGTGCTCGTCCAAATTAATCCTGAATGAAATAATGTCATAACTTCCTGATCAACATTACTTGCAAATCAAACTCTTCAGCACAATGTCACATGAGGGTCAGAGCCATCCCTAGGGTATGGCGGATCGCGGCGACCGCCCCAGGCCCCACACTTTAGGGGGGGGGGCCCAGCGACGATGTCACGGTGTCAGATGTAATATTTCTGGTTTAGTTTGAAGGCATCGGGGGGTGGGGGGGGAGGCAAGCAGTGTGATTTGCCCCAGGTTCCACACCCCCCTATAGACGGCCCTGAGTAGGGCCCACTGCCCGGTTTATATACAAACAGTGCTAGGATCCCCTTGAAATGAGGTACAGCACAAGCCAGGACTTTAGATATCTGAGGTTTACCCATGAGCCTCCTCACAAAAGCCTCGCCACTCCCACGTGAACCACACTAAAGCATTATGTGTGTGGTGCCGATTGACAGACAGAGGAGTACGGGCTCAGTTGGAGAGACCAGCTCCCGAGTTTCCTCATCAACTGTTCCTGCATTTTATTCATGGTCAGTGACGTTACTTTTTATTGTGCACACATGTTTCCTTGTTATGTATGTGCATGCTCGGCCAATGAACGCTTTACGCACGTGCAGTGCCTTACTATTTAAAATTTTCATTAATGTGTCTTGTGTCCATATGCTGATCCAGTTACTATATAATGTGTTACATAAAATATTATACAAATCATAAGATAGGCATTATAGTCATCAAACTATAACGCTTGATCACCCGTGGTGGAATCGCCCTACATCATAGTTGGTGCATTAAAGCTCATAAACACCGACATGCTATGCATAGTATGTGCATTCAACAACAACAGCAACAACAAATCAACAGCAGCACAAACAAGAGCAACAACAACAGCATCAACAACAGCAGCAGCAACAACAACAATTGCAATAACAGCAGCAGCAACAACAGCAGCAGCAATAGCAACAACAGCAACAAAAAACAGCAGCAGTAGAAACAACAACAAAAATAGCAACAACAAAACAACAGCAGAAGCAACAACAATAGTAACAGCAACAACAACACATTTGCGATGGCGACACTGTGACATCTGCTGTTGCCCGACTGCTTGCGGCCAGGGTCCTGGTCTCGCGGGTCTCCGGCTGAGTTAGCCGAGCGGTCTGGTTAATCAATGACTGCCCCTCTTCCTTGGAGAACTTGAGGCCATATCGGGAACTTCTCTTGGCTTGCTGATTGGCCAAATTTCCGGTTCAAACGACTCGAGTCCCGCACCCACTATGCTACGATCTGCTGTGGAAATACCAACCCCGACCAGCCCGTATTCGTCACTTGTTGCAATTTCTCGCACCATGCTTGCGCTGCAGATCTAGTCAGTTCTTGTTCCGCCCTACATCCACACCATTGTGGAAGAGCGCCTTCATTGCCAAACCCTGGACCAGGGCTCCTCTTAACTTTTGAATGCTCTATCGTCAACAAGACGGCGCTGATCCACGATCTCATCAACAATTGTGGACTCGACATATTTGCCATTACCGAAACCTGGGTATATGATGACTCAGACATAATTAAGCATGAGGCTACACCTAAAGCATACACTATTGTACATCAGCACCGTCATGGGAAGCCTGGCACCGGCAGTCCACATTGTGGAGGGATCGCACCGATTCACCATGAAGTCCTGAGCGTCTCATTAACAATCACGTTACTGGAGCTGCTCCTTGTGAAAATAACCAATAGCATGCGGGGGCTTATGATCGTTGTCATCTATCAACCGCTGTCTTCACAGCTGTCATAATTATTTTCTGAGCTTTCCAATCAGCTAGACTGTGGGTCACTTGGCTCTCGCTACATAATCTGTGGTGACCTCAATTGTCCCGGACCAACCGGTTCTTATGGTAAAATCAAGAGTGATCTCACGGAGATTATCGACAGTCACAGTTTAACCCAGCACGTCAGCAGCGCGACATTTTGCGCTGCTGACGTGCTGGAAATATACTGAATCACATCTTCACATCCACTGATGCCGTAACTGTGACTGACGTTTTCAAAGATGTGGGTGTTTCAGATCACAGTCTCGTGACTTGCAAAGTGGCATTGCTGATTATACGCCCACCTGTCACAACGGTATCATACACAATGCTTTCCGTCAGAAGATCCGATCATGGTCCGTGTTTAAATCTTGGATCGACGGTCAATTAATTTGCAGCTCAATAAAAAAATTACATCAGTGCTGTTCTTGATGAACTCGTGCCCATCCAAATATGCACAAAGAGAACAGGGAACATGCACAGTAATTGGCTCTCACCGAAGGCGATCGCAGCGAAGCAGATATGGATGAGGCTGGAGTGTCTTTGGAAGAAAACTGGTTGTGAGACTGTCCAACTCGCTTATAGAGTGGCCTGCAGATCTGCCAACTGATTCATTATTGAGTCTCACAGATCGTTCTATGTTCTTCGTGTCAATGAGTCGACTGGCAACCCCGTGCTCCGTGGCGCGTCGTGCAGGGCCTGCTGCAGTCCGACCGCCCATCAACTAGTCAATCCGGTCTGTGCACAGTACTTGCAATGTTCTTTGCCAATAAAATAGTGACGGTCAAAACGGTAGTTTAAAAATTGAAGGCAGCGCATTGTCCCGGTCTGGCATTTGAGTTTTATCAACCTGAAACCAATGCAAAACTCGAGACCCCAGCATCAACATTGGTGGTAGAGGTGTCGATGTTCATCGCACAGCTGCCAAATAAGACATGGCTAGTGGACTACATTCACACGTCAATTCTCAAATCATGCTCAGAGCCTCAGACGTCCTTGTGCTGCTGATTGTCCACCTGGAAAATCTTTGTTCAGCGAGGGCTGTTTCCCAGACTGGTTAAAAATGGCGGAGGTAACACCACTCCTGAAAAAAAAGTTGTCGTGAGCCATAGTAACCCCGCAAACTATCGCCTGATCTCAAATTTGAGTACGATTTCAAGGGTCATTGAGCGCCTTTGTCTGTAGCGGTTACTTCTCCACGTCACAACAATGGGCAGATTCAACCCATTGCAGTCAGCACTCAGACAGCTCTTCTAATTATCACTGATGATCTCTACAAGATCATGGATGACCGGTACGCCGCAGCATTGGTTGCCCTCGATCTCTCAGTCGCCTTCGACACCATCGACCATGAGATACTCATTTGGCGGCTAAGGGCAAGGTTCAGTGTATCGGGTATGGCATTGGGGTGGATTGAGCCATACCTACATGGAATATGACAGTTTGTCAAGCTTGGTGGCGAACAATCATCCCCTATGCCATTCCAAGTTGGCGATCCACAGGGGTTCCATCCTTAGGCCATTCCGATTTTCAACATACTGCTTAATCCAAGAAAATCGGAGGTTCTGCTGGTTGGCATTCAAGGTCAGGTGAAAAGATTTGTGGGAGGATTAGGTGTGGTGGTTGCAGACTCCAGGATTCAGTTTTCTACTCAACTAAAGAGCCTCGGTATCATACTCGACCAGAATATGTAATTTAATTACCACGTGCAAAATATAGTCAGGTCCTGCAATTTTCATATCAAGGCTTTACGACACATTTGGCCACTATTAAGTCGTGACATATCCAACATGGCGTGTAGTATAATACTCTATGGGACGTCTGGCAAAAAACATGACCAAGCTGCAGCGTGTACAAAATTATTTGGCACGTGTCATGACGGGTACTGAAAAATCCGACCATGTCTGTCTGGCGCTAGCCGAGCTGCATTGGTTTCAGGTTGCCAAACGAGTACATTATAATTTCGATTTAAAGCTTTTGTGACTGCAGGGATTCATAAATAATAAAATAATACAAATAAAAACAATAAAATTATCATGACGTTTCGATTGCAACACAAGCAATCATCATCAGGTGTGAAAACCACAGCAAGAAAATTTGAAAAAAGTGGCGTTTTTTTCTTAACGTTAGCACCACTGGCGGTTGTTCAGACGGACGAGTCCATCTAGACTGCCAGTATGCTCACCGAGGTTAGGAACCAGGCTACAGTCTACATTATAGACTGCCAGTACACTGATCCAGGTTAATAACCATTGCTACAGTCTACATTATAGACTGCCAGTACACTCACCAAACTTAATAACCTGGTTACAGTCTATATTATAGACTGCCAGTACACTCACTCTGATTAACAACCAGGCTACAGTCTACATTAGTGTTTTTATTCACTTTATTTTTAATTTTTCTATCTACGTGACTTTACCAAAAGAACCAAAGAATAGTCACGAATATTTAGCTTCGTAAAAAATTGGTATCTGAAAATATAATTTAAAAACTAATTACATTTTGCATTTGGTTTTATAAAGTCCAGCACCATTCAGATGTTTAAAAATCACCAATCTATTCATTTAATATTCCATACAGTAAAACAACAGGAGCATATCTCTTACAGATATGCATAGTTTGCCTTTGATTTACGTTGTATTCTTGTTTACATTTTGTTTTGCAGGTTTTACTTTCATTTGCAATCGTGGTTGGAATGATATTTTACCGCATTACCATGAACGTGCTTCTGGCCAACAGTACTGACCCCTACTTAAAATCCAACCGTTCAGCTATCATCATGGCTACAGCTTTCCTCATCAATCTCGTCATTATCCTAATTCTGGATGAGATTTATGGCTCCATTGCACGCTGGCTCACTGTCATCGGTATGTAACCCACACGCGAGCACAGGTTGACACTTAGGGACAGATTCACATTTTCTACTATAATGAGACAAGAATATCTGTGTGTCCCGCGTGTGATGTCACTCCACATCAGCCAGCCCCCCTCGTTAATAATCATGAAGAGGTGATGTCCTGACTTAAAGTTTCCGTGACTGCAGGAATTCATATTATTGGGTCTTTTGGTAAGGTCACGTAGATATGTTCAAAGAAAATAACAAAAATAACAAAAAAACTACGACGTTTCGATCGCAACAGAAGCAATCGTCATCAGGAGAAAAAAGATCGGGAAAGCTGCTGAGGCAGACTGTTTTAAAGTTTTGAAATGGGTATAGCCCAAGGGTCATGAACGAAGTGGGCGGGGCTAGTGATGTTAAAGTGAGAAATTTGCATGTAAATGTAAGGTCGGAGAGCTACCTCCACGACGACGAAGACGCGGAGGTGGCCATTGTATTGTGAGAGATTAGCATGTAAGATTGCAGAGCCACCGCCACACCGAGGACAAGAGCGATGGTGGCTGTGTTAGTGTGAGACATTTAACCTGTTAATGTAAAACCAGAGTCGAAAATCAATACTAACATCGGAAGGTAGGATGGAAACATCACAGCCAGTTATGACGTAAACTGGTTAATAACGTCCTTCCAATGATTGATCAGTTTGTACCGGTTGAAATTGTGTCTGTGTCTATATATATATGGATGGCTTCATGAACGAATCTTTGTTGATAGCCAGTGGGCTTGCAAAGTACCTTCGTCTTAGAGAAATAAATTTCGTGTGAGCCCACCGCATTAATACAATGATCAGCCACGGCCGAGGTATTGGTCCTACCGTGTTTCAGATCTGCCTTGTGTTCAAAAACACGGTCCAGGACACGTCACTTAGTTTCCCCAAATAAACTACTGCCGCAGACACAGCTTAGTTTGCAGACGCCGGGGTATTGCATGCTAGGGATCACATCCTTCACAGGTGGGATCAGATCACGAATTTTATGTACTGTGTTAAATCGAACCTGGATATTGTGTTTGCTCTTGATTTTGGTAATCTTTTTAGTGACGCCTGCTATGTATGGCAAGGTGATGGTTTGGATTGGGTCTTGAGATGGTTCTTTCCCAACGGTTGGGGTGATAGTTTTACGGATTGTGTGGTCTGAATATCCATTCATCTTAAGAGCTTGGTGTACGTGTTCCAGTTCACTGGCAAGGTGATGACAGTCGGAAATACATCGAGCTCTATGGTGTAGAGTTTTGATGAGGGAATTCGTCTGGGATTGATGGTGGTAGGAGTCAGGTTTTAGGTAGGCATCCAATCCATATGGGTGGCTTTCTTGTAGACAGAGTGTCCCATTGAGCCATCTAGTCTCTTTTCAATTTGAACATCCAAGAATGGTAGTTTGCCATCCTTTTCCACCTCAATGGTGAATTTGACGGCTGGGTGTATGGAATTGATGTGGTTGAGGAATTGGTTCAGAGCTGGTCGGCCATGTGGCCAGATGACGAACATGTCATCTACGTACCGCTTCCACAAGGACGGACGTAGAGTGGATGCCTGGATGGCATCTGTCTCAAATTTTTCCATGAAAACATTGGCTACAACTGGAGATAAGGGAGAACCCATTGGGGTACCTTCAACTTGTTTGTAGAATGTTCCATTCCAGGTGAAGTAAGTGTTGGTGAGGCAGTGTCTCACCAGGGCCGGTACATCAGCATGCAGTCCTTGTTGGACCAAATCTTCAATGATTGCAATGGTGTCAAGCACATCAGCTTTGGTAAACAAAGAGACCACATCGAAACTAATGAGCAAATCACCTGGAGATAGTGAGATGTCCTTAATTAACGATACCAAGTAAGCTGAGTTGAGTACAGCTGAGGTGGTCTTACCAGTGAATGGTTGTAATGTCTAAAGCAGAAATCGGGCCAGTTTGTAGGTGGGTGAGTCAATGGTGGAGACGGTAGGACTAAGGGGTGTCCCTTCTTTATGGATTTTTGGTAAGCCATACAATCTGGGTGGTCTAGCAGCATAGGGTTTTAAGGAAAACCGCTTAGTTGGATCGATCAAAGATGTCGAATCAGTGATGATGTTGTATGTTTTCGTAACGAGGTGGATGGTGAGATCGGAAATCGCTGCAATCCTCAAAAACGCTAAGACACCTATTAGCAACATCAGTAAAGATGGGCACTTTGAACTTTCTCAATTAAAAAAGAGATGACATCGTCATCCTCTCAGCCGACAAGAGCAATGCCACAGTCATCATGGACAAAACCACATACAATAACAAAATTCAGGACCTACTTCATGATGGTAGCTATACCAAAATTAAATGAGATCCCACCAACCGCCTCGTTACGGAAACCAACAATATCATCACTGATTCGACATCTTTGATCAAACCAACCAAGCGGTTTTCCTTGTTACGGAAACCAACAATATCATCACTGATTCGACATCTTTCATCGAACCAACCAAGCGGTTTTCCTTAAAAACCTCTGCTGCTTGACCACCCAGATTGTATGGCTTACCAAAAATCCATAAAGAAGGGACACCCCTTCGTCCTATCGTCTCCAGCATTGACTCACCCACCTACAAACTGGCACGATTTCTGTCTGAGACCTTACAACCATTCACTGGTAAGACCACCTCAGCTATACTCAACTCAGCTCAATTGGCATCGTTAATTAAGGACATCTCACTTTCTCCAGGTGATTTGCTCATTAGTTTTGATGTGGTCTCTTTGTTTACCAAAGTTCCTGTGCTTGACACCATTGCAATCATTGAAGGTTTGGTCCAACAAGGACTGAATGCTGATGTACCGGCCCTGGTATGGAACATTCTACAAACAAGTTGAAGGTACCCCAATGGGTTCTCCCTTATCTCCAGTTGTAGCCAATGTTTTCATAGAAAATTTTGAGACATATGCCATCCAGGCATCCACTCTACATCCGTCCTTGTGGAAGCGGTACGTAGATGACACGTTCGTCATCTGGTCACATGGCCGACCAGCTGCGAACCAATTCCTCAACTACATAAATTCCATACACCCAGCCATAACATTTACCATGGAGGTGGAAAAGGATGGCAATTTACCATTCTTGGATGTTTTCATTGAAAAGAGACCAGATGGGTCAATGGGATACTCTGTCTACAGGAAAGCCACCCATATGGATGCCTACCTAAAACCTGATTCCCACCACCATCCATCCCAGAAGAATTCCCTCATCAAAACTCTACACCATGGAGCTCGATGTATTTCCGACCGTCATCACCCAGCCAGTGAACTGGACCACATACACCAAGCTCTCAAGATTAATGGATATTCAGACCACACAATCCAATCAAAACCATCAGCTTGACATACATATCAGGGATCACTAAAAAGATTTCCAAAATCATGAGCAAACACAAGATCCAGGTTCGATTTAACACAGTACATAAAATTTGTGATCTGATCCCACTTGTGAAGGATGTGATCCCTGACATGCAATACCCCAGCATCTGCAAACTAAGCTGTGTCTGCGGCAGTAGTTACATTGTAGAAACTAAGCAACATGTCTCAGACCGTGTTCGTGAACATAAGGCAGATCTGAAACACGATAGGACCAATACCTCGGCCGTGGCTGATCATTGTTTTAATGCGGTGGGCTCACACGAAATTTATTTATCTAAGTCGAAGGTACTTTGCAAGCCCACTGGCTTTCAACAAAGATTCGTTCATGAAGCCATCCATATATATAGACACAGACAGCTTCAACCGAGAAGATGTGTACAAACTGAGCAATCATTGGAAGGACTTTGTTAACCAGTTTAAGTCATAACTGGCTGTGATGTTTCCATCCTACCTTCCGATGTTAGTAGTTATTTTGGACTCTCTGGTTTTACATTAACAGGTTAAATGTCTCACACTAACCCACCCACCGTCGCTCTTGTCCTCAATGTGTCGGTGGCTCTGCGATCTTACATTGACATGCTAATCTCTCACAAAACAATGGCCACCTCCGTGGCTTCGTCGTCGTGGAGGTAGCTCTCTGAACTTACATTACAATGCAAATTTCTCACTTTAACATCACTAGCCCCGCCCACTTCAATTATGATCCTTGGGCTACACCCATTTCAAACCTTTAAGACAGCCTGCCCAGCAGCTTTCCCGATCTTTTTTTTCCTGATGACGATTGGTTGTGTTGCGATCGAAACGTCGTAGTTTTTTGTTATTTTTGTTATTTTCTTTGACCTTATCTACGTGACTTTACCGAAAGACCCAAGAATAGGTGACGTCCTCCACATGGATCCCCCCTCATTAATAATCGTGAGTGGGTGACATCACTCCACATGTAGCACCCCCCCTAATTAATAATCATGAGCAGGTGACATCACTCCACATCGAACAGCTTCCCTCATTAATAATCATGAAGAGGTGAGGTCTACCAAATGGACACCTCCTTCCCCCATTAATAATAATTAGCGGGTGACATCACTCCACATGGGGGCGAGGCGCCTCCTCCCCCCTCCTCAGCGTCAGCTTACAACCCTCACTACAAAGGCAGAACCCTCACGTCACGTGACCTCCGCAACGCTGTTGTTGAGACATAGAAGTAAAAAGGACGTCATGATGAACAATATAATTTAACCTTTAATGAAATAAATCTGTCTAACCGCAGCCTTACAAATTGCACACGAATAGCTGCAATTAATATCACGTCGTGATCTGCTTTTCGCTTGCAAGTTTCAGATTTACTGAAATACACCCGTCCTTGGACGGGCAAAAGGCTAATCTTTACATAACGGGCGAACATGTTGCCTTGGCAACATGTCTTAAATTTTTGGCAGTGATGACACCAGCATGCTTGCACCAAAATTAGAAGAGACATTTGCCACACATGTGATTTGAGCTGTAGTTACACCTGGACGCCTATTTTTCAATGGTTTTACAAATGAGAAAACATTTCATGCTCTTTTCTATTTCAGTCTATTCCCTGTTGTCTTGTTCGACATTACATGGCATCATTGGCTATGAAACGTTTTATTTTATTATATAAACAATTATTTAAAAAAGCACACTAGCTACAATAATTGTTATGCTACAATTCAACAATTTTCCATTTTAAACCTTCAGTTTAGACACAGCACCGATTACTGTATGAAGTTACCTTCTTGAGAATAAGCTTTAACTAGTTCATTTTCAAGAAGGTAACTTTATACTACCTCAACTGGTATACAGGAGGTAACTTTAACTGCCTCACCTGGAATACAGAAGGTCGTGGGTTCGATCCCAACCCTGGTACCTGTAATATTTGCATGTTCTTCCCGTGGTCGTGTGAAGTTTTCTCCGGGGCCTCCGGGTTTTCGCTCCACGTTTAGAGTATTTCGGTGCTACAAATGTCAACATGATAAGCCACTTCGTTGAGCTATTGTTTGTGGCCAGGTCGCTTCTGAAAAAGAGCTATGTAGCTCAGTGGGCCTTACCTGGTAAAAAAAAAAGTTTAACTTGCACGTGAACCTTAAACACGCTGTGCCACTGTCCTATGTTTGATTATACACGCATGACCGCATCATTCATTATTATTAATTCTTAATTATGCGCTCATGCGTGTACAGCTCCTTTGTCAATCCACTGCTGGATGAGGGTCTCCTTACTCTGTGTAAGTCGTGGGGGGTTATAGCCATGTCCCAGCTTGCTAGCGCTTTCAGTGATTTCTGGGTGCACTACCCAGAAATAAGCTCAAAGTGGTTCGATTAAATGTCGTACGTTTGGTGTTAGATTCGGTCGATAAAATGTTTCAGCCACTGCTGGGTCTTGGTCAGCATTTGATCATTTTAAATAGGCACGTATAATTAATCTATTGAAATGTAACAATCTTGTAGGGTGGTGGAGGGTTAATGACAATATATTTTGGCATAACACTACTACGTGGTCTAACCCACGAACACATATTGATGTCATTATTTCAACAAATGGATCATTGTATTGTCTACGGAAACCCACATTGCAAGCAATTACAACTGTACGACGATGACGATGGTGGTAGAACTGTGTTCACACTGATGGATGTGAATAGTCTTCAGCATTTGTAGAAGACTGCCCCCTTAATTTCGCTCGCAGGGCCTTATGGATAATCTCCGCTCAGGGCCGGCCGTCCATATAGGCGAATTAGGCGGTTGCCTAGGGCGCCAAGTTAATTCGGGCGCCAAATTCCAGGGGAAAATACAAATAAAAAATATACAAATAAAATAACGAAGATGTGATTATTTCAATTCCCGTGTGCTTACAGAGGGAATATGCATTATCATTCATTTCTCAACTTTTATGATATTTTATTGGACAGATGGACGGATGGACAGACAAACCGAATAATTATGCCTCTGTTTAAAAAATATGTTTACAAAAAACATGAAATGGAAAATAAGGGCAAAATGTTTCCCAGTTTAACAAATCTCAGCCTAGAACTGCCCTTTGGGTTTGGGAGTGTGGGGGAGCCGATTGCATGGCTCGCCTAGGGGGCGCCAGTTGCTGGCAGCTCGTGTCGGGCTGTCCCTGTCCCCGATGGCCAGATGAGCCCTGTGGACTCTCCACACCATGGCCACAACCCCAGCGTCCTGCGACTTTCATCTCTTTCCAGAGGTTCCAAAAACGGAAGAAGAATTTGAAACCCGGCTAATTTTCAAGTCCTTCATGTTGAAGTTTGTAAACTCCTATACCAGCATCATATACGTGGCCTTCCTCAAGGGCAGGTAAGTTGCAAAAAGTCAAATAAATATTGCGTTATTTTGTCACAGGTTTTATTTTAAACAAAAATGATCAACATTCATTTGAAGTTCATACATCGTCCTTATACAGTACTTGAATGTAGGTAATTGAAGAGGGAAATTGCTAAACAAATCGTTTGTAGTTGTTTTACATATTTGCTAATATTTTAGGCTGCGAATGTAGTTATGGCAAGAATTTAAAGATTTCAACAAAATAAATGAATTTGGTACTGATCATTGAATAATTTGTTCATGCGTTTGTGATATTGATAGCAGTACATCATACATTACAGGACATCTTCCAGTGTATGATGTTTTTTTTACTTTGAGTTCGTTTTTAAGACTGTACAGTACTTTATTCACGTGTCATACTTGCCTCTGTTACAGAATAACCGGTTATCCCAAGAAATACTACTACATTTTACCTAATTATCGCATGGAAGAGGTATGAAATGTCACCTAATATTTTAAAGAGTAACTATCAATAAAATATCATGAAAATGCACACAGTTTAATATTTAACACTGAGGCAGAGTCTTTATATATTTGGTTAGGGATCTGTATCATCATCTTATTTGTTCAACACATTACCTACAAATATATGCATATGAAATGGAAGCTCTTGACTTATAGTTGTCAAATATTTAATTTTAAATCATTCGGATATCCAGTTTCCAAAAAAATTATCCTGATTTTCCCAAAAGTATTTGATTAACCAAACGATATCAGGTTCACACCACAGAGGATATGACAGGAGGGTTGATACCAGCACAAACACATTACGGATTACAGTGCAATGGAAACCTGTCTACACCGCATGTTTCAATCAACTGTTTCAATAAACTCCCCAACCCGCTGCTGTCTGCTCTGATACCCCTTTAGGAGGAGAAAAGGGGGGGAGGGGGAGAAGTGCCTAAATGCCCTCATGAATGCTCTTAAAAATCAATGCCCACTAGAGGAGAGGTAGTGAATGGGTTCCATGTTTGGTGGTAAGCCTCCTACCTGCCCCTTAGTTTTATATCCTCTAAAGCGGGAGTTTCTGAAAATGTATTGGCCCATTCCTGTAGTGTTCGGGGAGCATGCTCTTTCCATTGGTTATAATGGTGGGTTACATCATGACATTAAAAAATTAGGAATATTGTATTTTCCTCCCTGGAAAGGCCTTGAGGTTTTCAACCCCAACAGGGACGTTTCTGGTGAGGGTGAGACAAATCCTGATTTTTTAAAAATGTCCCTTGTAAAAAAGGTGGCGATTTATTCCGCGTGACAGACTAGTGCTGCTCAGGAAGTTATTGGCACGAAAGGCAGTGAGCACTCAATTTATATTGGTCAGTTTAAGAGACCGGAGAAAATCAACACCTTCACAACCGTTGCGTTTAGGAACTGTGTTGCCTCGAGAGTTGCTTCAGTCGGCAACCAAAGGAACTTATCGAAGATCCTAAGAGTAGTAGGAAAAACATCCCAAGCTGGTAATCCCACTACTGTACAGGATTCCCTTCGCCGCAGTGTGCACATTCAGCAACTAGAACACAAAATGCATCGGCCACAGTGTTCTACGGTCATAACTAAGATTGTACACAGCATAAATGTGTAGTGAGTCCAACTGAGTTGCAGACGTTGTCTTGGGAGCAACACTATTTATTACACCAACTCAACACACGCATGGTTAGTTGGGCGTTGAACGCCCATCTAACCACGCTACGGCAGAACCAGACACGGTTCGCTATCCCGGTCCAGACCACGAGCTGGGTCCCGGATCACGTGGCTAGAGGCTTCTTCAACCCGATGTAGATCTTCACACTCTTTGGTTATATTCGCCCACCTTCTAGATCTCTCGAGCTTCCGAGAGCTCCTTTATACCATGTGACCACCCAACGGCCCCCGTCCACCGGTTGCCCCCCTCCAATATCATCCGGTCATGTGTCGGCAGGTCAACCGGCGTATCATGCCCCAACGTAACCCTGGCTGGCTGACGCTCCCTCTCGCTCCCCCACTGGGAGCCCGCACTGCACATTGTACGTGGTGCCACCGCGCTGACCAGTGCTCACCCAAGCCCTGATAGGGCTGGTACTACGCCCAGTAAGCGGGCTGCACATAATGACAACATCCGCCGTGGCTTTGCAAGCCTAGCACCACACAGTGACATTCACAGTCACTACAAAAGTATAAATTATGTCGTAGCCCCTTTCTTGATCATGTTAAACTTTCATATAGAAACTGTGGTCATGGTAAGTGCGATCATTGCAGAAGGAAAATAGTATTCATTCATTGTTTACACAAAACAGCATGGCATGACCTCAGGACTCAGGATGGGGTGGGTGTTATTTGCACAGCGTTGGTATTACCAGCCTTCTCAGTAATGAGTGAACATGAACTAATTATAAACTGGTGTTGCAGATAATGCAGTTGAACTCAACCTTGAGACTGTATAAACATTGGCACATACATTTATGTCCATAATAAATAACATTACAAAATGTTACTGTGTGCCTCACGAATCACTTTAGTAGAGTTACAAAAGGCCATATGCAGTCTCAATCCAGTGTGTTGCTAAAATTAAACTAAACTTTAGTTTTTTTAAATTAAGAATTAATAATAATGAATGATGCGGTCATGCGTGTATAATCAAACATAGGACAGTGGCACAGCGTGTTTAAGGTTCACGTGCAAGTTAAACTTTTTTTTTTACCAGGTTAGGCCCACTAAGCTATACAGCTCTTTTTCAGAAGTAACCTGGCCCCAAATTATAGCCCAACGAAGTGGTTTATCATGTGGAAATTTATAGCAGCCAAATACTCCAAATACAAGCTCCTTGTGCCCGCTATCAGTATTATTATTGTCATTACACTTGCTTACCAAGTTAAGATTCCCCGAGTCAGTGGGATGCCGGGGGGCGGGGGGGTCCTGCTAGGTTATTTTGCAGCAGAGGGTGACGAATGGTGTGTTTCCTAGTTGAGTAAATCACTTTCAAACGTGGACCATGATGCCGGCACACAAATGGGCCTACTCTTCTTCGAATGTCCTTGGATCTTTAACATCGACTGTGAATCAGATGCAATAACTTTTTATGGTTAATATACACCACAGTATTAACCAGGGTAAGCTCCCATAACCAAACTGTGATTCTCTAAAAAAAAGCTGCGGATGGAGTGAGTTCTGGTTATATTTATATATGTAACTATCACTTATAGCACTGGCAAAATCTAGACGAAAATTCTTCCTTGAAGATATTATTTCTGATGAACACCCACTGAGTGGTGTATGCTGTCCACAGTGTGCCCCAGGTGGATGTCTTCAGGAGCTTGCCCTGCAGCTCTGTATCATCATGCTGGGAAAACAGCTCCTCCAAAACAACCTGTTTGAGGTTGGCATCCCGTGAGTATGAACTCTGCGTGTGCACTTTTGCAATAAAAAATATTTGACCAGAAATCTCAAAAAAATTCCACCAACTTCATGTATTATTTATTCTTTATTGCAACTATATTCAAATAAAAGGTCGTTGCGTGAATGTGTATACAAAATGTGTTTTTAAAATGCAGGTTGCAAATTTTGGCATAATTTTATGACCGTTCTGAACCAGAGTGCATAATTTAATCCCCAAAACGATGCTTTGTAACTGTAATCAGGGTCAGAATGGTAACATTGGAATGTGTACAAAAAAAGCAACAAAGTAAAACAAATAACGCTATATTGTGCAACATTTGAGTTACAAAACGTTGCATGTTGTAAAGTTGCACCCTCTAAGCTTAGCTTCAGTGTAGGTTTGGCTATCCCCGCTCTTCTGAACAGAAAAATTAAGAAGCTCTGCCGCTATCTGCACAAGAAGGATCACCACAAAAAGGCGAGCCACCTAAAGGAAGAGGATGGGATGGAATTAGGATGCAAGGACTATGAGCTGGAGCCATTCACTGGGCTCAATCCAGAATACATGGAAATGGGTAATCAAAATGACTTACATACACCAGGTGGTATCCAATACGCCTTCACGTTATCAGTTATTGATCTACAGCAATAGCTGCAATGTCACCCGCAGTATTCTCACGAACGTTGCTGCTATATGAATCAATTATTCAATGCATGTATCGTGCATGAGGTTCACATCATCAATGATTCAATGCATTCTCATATGCATTAAAACTGGTGCCCAAGGTAGTTGCTAAGACAAGTAAGGTAAAATACAACTGCGTTAATCAGCTAAGAAGAACAAATTCACACTCGGAAAACTTTAATCTGTATTTTTAAGCAAAACTAGAAATCTACATTTCTAATTCTGACTCTGATGTATTCAATGCATACCTGGTAACCCCTTATCAGTGCCTATCTTATTACATACCAATTCAGACCTATTAGTCACTCCGTGCTCTTATGCATGTCAAAGTTCATCCTACAAAGTCTCATCACAAGGGAGAAACACAAACACATAGACAAAACAATTTCCCAGTATTGAAACGGCTGATCGCCGTATTTCCCTGTACAAGAATACGTGTAAACCGTATGGATTGACAGCTATGTCAATGTAGTAATATTATGAACAAAAATAAATACTTAAAGAAACATTGGTGCCACAATACCAATTGTGATATGGGGACCCTTTCCACAAAGACGATCTGTAGGCAGGTGAAAGCCAAAAAGCTCCTATCACAGAAAACCAGCAAACAATGTCATAATGCTTGTACACATATGTACGGTATATTGTATACAAGAACCACTTCAAGATGTTCAACTCTATCTTTGACCCACATAAATTGTAATTGCTCATGGTTCTGACATGACCTCTACTTTTTTGACAGTATATTATTTGTGTGGATACATCCAATGGCGGAGCCAGGATTTTCAGAAAGGGGGGGCATCCCCTCCAGCAATGAAAAATGATAGGAGATGTTAGTGAGTAAGGACTTGTCCCTTGCTTTTTATTCGATGCGTGTGCGGCGATGGCGCAGCCATCGATCGAGGGTCGATTTCGAACCGTGTGTGATCGGCATCGCGCTCGCTGAAGGTATGCCTTTAGGGAAGTCGTGTACTATATACGCAACTGCGCACAATTCTATGAGTCACTTATAACTGATTTGCCGTTACTTATTGCCAATTATGGACTCGGACTATTGTCCTATCATCTCATAGAGTCTCTGGCACATAATAATATGCTACACAGTGGCAGTGGGGGTCGCAAAATGCCGATTTATTACTAATAAACCCCAATGATTCGAAAAAGTGATCCGATCGAAATTAGAGATTTCGATCGGATCATTAGGAGGGCACGTACCACCCTCCACCACCCCCCCCCCCCCCCCCCCCCCCCCCCCCCCCCCCCCACTGGCTCTGCCAGTGGATACATCTTCAGTTCCTTGTTCGGTGATTTTAATTTAAGTGATGTTTTTTTACAATTAATAATATGGCAGACCTTGTGTTTTCTTGACCAGATTAAGCCTGGACCTAGAATTCCCACAAAGCTAGAAAAATGTATTCATCAAATGTGTAGAGGATGAGAAAAAAACGATCAAAACCATGTTTTTTCATTTTCAGTCGATCCGAGTTAAATTCGAAATGCCAAAAAAACAAATGATTCATTTTTTTAATTAGCCCCTTGTTTAAAGAAACAATAGTGCAGGCCTGGAAACTGTAACTTTCAAACCACACAAACACATGTAAAAATCACTCAGCCTTTGTTCATTATAAAAAAAGCCATCAGCAGTTCCTGAATATGTGTATTATGGTTCAGTCTTAGGTCACCACCAAAATACCGTACCTGTAAATCGGTCATATTTGCTCACAATTAACGTTTAGGGTGACCCAAGAGGACCACAATGCACTTCTTCAGGAACTGCTGATATTTTTGTTGAGTAATGCATAAACATGTTTCCATACAATTAGAATTGCGGGCTTTCTGCATCCCTCATGTTTGCCTTGTGCTGTGTTTCCAGTGATCCAGTTTGGCTTCGTCACACTGTTTGTGGCCTCCTTTCCACTGGCACCCTTCTTTGCGTTGTTGAACAACGTAATTGAGATTCGTCTGGACGGGAAAAAGTTTGTGACAGAACTGCGGCGACCCACAGCCGTGAGAGCCAAGGACATTGGTAAGTCATTTTACCGAAAATAATTTTAAGACTTCCAAGTGCCTCTGTTAATAGTAGGCTTGGTAAATGACTAAACGATGTGCCACTGAATGGGTACGTAAATAAATGCTCCATAAATCGTTAAATGATGGGCGAAGTTTCTTTTCCTCTTTATCACCTGCCGATTTTAGCCGCTCGAGTGTGCGTGAGAATGAACGGAAAGGTACTGAATAACCAAAGTTACTGGAGTACAACATGAAGTAAACAGTTGAAAAAGTGTTAACGTATTGTAAAAAATACCAATTTAAGAAGGTATTTGAAACAAGGTTAGGAACAAAAAATAACCCAGATTAAAAAATACGGCAGACAGTATTGAAACACAATGTATTGAAAAGTAAGAGGATAGGATGCTGCATCGTGTACATGACAACTTAAAATCGTAACGTTTATGCTGCTAGGCCATCATGAGCAACCGCCAAAGGGGCTTGGGTTGGCCTTCATGTCCGGAAATAGTTTGGCAAATGGCAGTTCAATAATAATTTAAATCTACGGATATATATTTCTACATAGTGTGTGTATATATGTATGTATGATACCTCAGTTACTCTTTGTTTTTTTTCGGTAAAGTCACATAGAAAGAGAAATGGGCATGTCAATGAGAGATTTGGAGTTTTCGTGACTGCAGGAAATAATAGAGCAACAGCACGAGGGGAGACAAAGAGAGAGAAAACACACAAATTTGGAAATGCAATGCAACACAGAGTCTTTGTGTTGCATTGCATTTATAAATTTTACTAAATCTCTCATTGACATGCTAATTTCTTTACCCCCCCCCCTCTCTCTCTCTGCACCCTCTCTCTCTATCTCTCTATTTAAGGCCTCGACACAGAGGTGTTGTTTCTCTGTGTGCCTATGTGTGTGCCTCTCTCTGTGTGTCTCTGTGTTATCTCTCTCTGCTTATGTGTCTGTCTATGTGTCTCCGTGTCTGTGTTTTGTCTCTTTCTCAAATGTAGCAATCTTTGGAAGAATGTAATCAACCAGGTAAGGTGTTGACTGTTATGTTAGCCGACTCTCTGTGTTGTATTGCATTATATTTCTAAGTTTACTAGGTTTGTTTTCTCTTTCATTTGTACCTGATGATGATTGCTTGTGTTGCAATAGAACCGTCGTATGCAATTATTTAATTTATTATTTTCTCTTTCTACGTGACTTTACCGAAAAAACCAAAGAGTAATTCCTGCAGCCACGAAAGCTCCAAATCAAGTTTGATACCTCAGTTGTTAAGTCTGGGTTTATATCCTGCAAAGGCTGGTGATGAATGTGGCTTTCATGTGGTATGCATATTTAACTTATTCACCTCGTTTGAAGTGCATGTGCTCTACGCATGTTTATTGAGTGGGTTTACATGTTGTGTATTGCAGGTACATGGTACGTCATCTTGAATGGAGTAGCCAAGCTGGCAGTGATCATTAATGTGAGTGCTCACCACAACCATGTAAAAAAACCCCATCATTTTCCATGATAATTCTGCTCATGTTATATGAATATAATAAGCAATTATATGATCCGAAAATGCATTTTTACATTTGCATTGCCAATATATGTACGGTTAACAAATCTAAATCAAATTCCCGTGCTTTCTATATCTGGTTTACTTTTATAGTTAAAATTCTGAGATGTGATGTACACTGATGCCTATTTTACTGAGGGCGACATTGGCACGTAATATAAAGATTCATTGATTGACGGATGTGTCAGAGGAAGGATGTCTGTATCTGTTAATAGCCAGGGCAGAAATCAGAGCGACCTTTGTGAAACTCCATGGGAGTGGTTTGATTCAGCCACTGAGATGCCGATATGTACAATTAATTTGCGTGGGCATTTTTGGGGTTAATTAATTTTGAGTCTATCTGAATTAAATTTGAAATGCCAACTTTGTATTTATGAACTCCTTTAAAGGAAAATAAATTGTATAAGTAAATGTTTCAGAGCTCAATTTTAAGTGGCACGCCACTTGCAACTGTGCATACTAGGCAGCCTCCACTGCTCTTCATGCCGTAGATCACTAGCACTGCCTCGTATGCCTAAGAAGCAGTACTTCATTTTTTGCTATGGATTAAGGTGCAGTCTGTTCTATAAAGCGCTAGTTGTGTTCCTGAAGAACACTGCGTTATGGAAAAATCGTATTATGGTAAATAATATGTAACATAGGGTTAAGCACAGTCTGTGATAACACGTGAGATGCGTATGAAGGCTGTACAAAGACTGAGGCACGTGGGTAGCATCTAGAAGCATCCAGCAGCATCCCGCTCCCATGTGCAATGCCACATCGAGTTAGCCGCTACAACCGCTTATTGCTACTCGCGTGTCGTAGTTCCATTCACTCACAGGCATTACATCCAACTAGCTTTTTGCCTGTCCAAGGACGGGTGTATTGCAGTAAATCTGAAACTTGCAAGCGAAAAGCAGACCGCGACGTGATATTCATTGCATCCATTCGTGTGCAATTTGTAAAGGCGTGGTGACACAGACCTATTTCATTTAATAGTTATAATCCCTTGTTCATCATGACGTCCTTTTTACTTCTATGTCTCAATAGCGTTACGGAGATCGCATGACGTGAGGGTTCTGCCTTTGTAGTGAGGGTTATAAGTTGACGCTGATGCGCCTTGCACCCTCCATGTGGAGTGACGTCACCTCCTAATTATTATTAATGGAGGACGGAACCTGTTCATGATTACTAATGAGGGGGGCTGGTCGACGTGGAGTGACGTCACGCGCATTACACACTGACATTCTTGGGTAAATATAGTAGTACATTTTAATCCGCGTTATAAAAAAATGTGTCCCCTAATACATTAATTGCGTTATGTCCAATTCGCATTATGAAAACAACATGTAGCGTTATAGAATAGACTATTTCACCAGGGTTAATCCCTCGAAATAGACCATCTTGTTTAAAAGGGTATCTGATATATTATTTTATCAGGCAACAGTTCTGGGATATGAGGGAGCAAGCGAGGGCTTCACCATTCTGGCGAATTGCCGATGATGCTGGATGTAATTACCAGCGGAAAGTCGTACTTAAACTGTAAATGTTGTGGATTCACTCTTCAACACACCGGTGGGCTAAAGTAGTGAACTATTTTGTCTTTTGTCAACGTGACACTTTTTTGCTGATTGGCCGTGTCGGGTGGTGGAGGGTTACGACACATTTATTAATAACGCGATCTAACCCAAACACCTTTATTATGAAAAGGGCAATCTCCTGTTTACTATGGGAGTTCCAAAAAATACAATTCTAAATATGAGACCGATGGCACAATTGGAATATAAATAGCAAAGTACGCAAGAAAAAATACGGGCTACATTACAGGAGACCCTTGAATATCGCAGGGGTTACATTCATGTAAAGTGCCGGGAAATCCAAAACTGCGATAGCCTTACCTCAATAATGAATTTCGGTAAACGGTAACCAAAAATAGTCATCACAATTGAAATAAGTACTGCGTTGTATTACAAACAAACAAAACATAAAAAAATTCAAATAAACACAAAGACCCTTTACAAAAACATTCTTAAACAATAAATAGGAGTATAAATACTGAATACTGTTCTTACCCATGATGATCACCCAAAGCGGGTGTGTGTGTCTTCTTTGGTTCTTTCGGTAAAGTCACGTAGAATGAGAATAAAATAATAAATTGATAAAATAAAATAACACAATAATATTCTCACGACGTTTCGGCCACAACACAAGCGGCCTTCATCAGGTGAAGGGACGAGACTGTCTGGTAGGACAGCGCTGGAGTGAAAAAAGCCACGTTCAGATCACGACCTTTAAGCTGTGTCAGAAGAAACAAAGCGCCTTGACAAAGGAATTAGCATATAATTTAGCATTGAAATGGCCGAGTGATTAGCTTGTGACTGGTCACAGAAATGGCTATGTTAAAGTTAAAGCATACACATCCGCAGAGGCACCCCTTGACAAAGGAATTAGCATAGAATTTAGCATTGAAATAGCTAAGTTAAAGCATACACATCTGCAGAGGCACCCCTTGACAAAGGAATTAGCATAGAATTTAGCATTGAAATAGCTGAGTCATTAGCTTGTAACTGGTCACAGAAATAGCTATGTTTAAAGTCAGAGCATACACATTCACCGAGGCACCTAGTACAAATCAAACAAGAGAATTTAGCATTGAAATAACTAGGCGAATTTAGCATTAAATAACTGAGTGATTAGCTAGTGACTGGTCACAGAAATGGCTATGTTGAAGTCAATGTCTACACATCTGAGCTATTCACAGTAACTGGGTATACAATACAATGTATAATGAATACTATATAGTGAACCAATAAAAAACTAAAATATAAATTACCTTAATGTTATCAATAAACTCTATGTTCTCCAATCAGCTAAGCTACCAACAATAAGTCGTTATATATCACAATGCTATATGGCGAAAAAATGGGTGGATTCTTACCCTCAACTTTAGCAACACGGATAGCTACGGGCCCCGTTCAGACGGACGAGTTCATCCAAGGTCGGAACAGAGGAGGGGGAGAGAGACAGCTGCGAGGCGCTATTATACTCCATGTTGTAAACCATACCATTAACCGTGGTGTGAGAGGTATTAAGAGTCAATGCTGGTGAAAGAGCTGCGGTCTGAAGGTCATTGTAAAATACAATTAATTAAGAACGTAAATGGTTTAAAACATCTTTCCAATGGTTACTAAGCCAGAATCCATCTTCTCGGTTGAAATTGTCTCTGTGCTTGTATATGTGAATGGCCTCATGAACGAATCTCTCATGGTAGCCGGTTGGTTTGCAAAGAACCTCCGTCTTGGAGAAGTCAATGTCATGTGTGTGTGTCTGTGCGTGATTGGGGAGCGGTAGTGCTACAGTTATCGTGCTGCGCTAGGAACCCGGAGACCCGAGTTTGATTCCTGCTCTCGCCCAAAGACCATTGACGATGATTTGAACCAGTCTTGGGCCTCCTCTAGCTCGGTTCAGCCTTAAATGAGTACCCACTGCGATGTGTAAATGTCGCCACTTGGGAGACAAAAGCGGGACCCGGGCGTAGTGCTGGCCACCCATCCCTTTGTGTTCTGTGCCAGCCATAATAGGTGCTTGCTAACAGCATTTGCCCCAACAGTCTGTTAATAGGCTATATGGGGGTCTTTATTTCTGTCGGCGAAATTCTTGCACTGCAAAGGTTGAGGTGCCATCGACTGTCTCGCCCACCCCGCACCGCCCCACCCCACAGTATCAGCCAATGATACCGTAATTCCGGGTACAGTATACCCACAAAAGGCCAAAACTAACCCCTGCAATAGCTAAATTGATATACAAAGAGGTTGCCTACGATCGGTCAAAACAATGAAAGATAAACCGGCCATATACAAGGATCTCCTGTACTGTGGATTTGTGTGTATGGTGAGCATTTTTTGCATACCTGTTCTCTCTCGATTCTCATGTAATCTACTCTTGTGTTCATGTTGCAGGCCCTAGTCATTGCCCTGACTTCAGATTTTGTGCCACGGCTGATCTACATGTACTTCTACAGTCCTGATGGATCGCTGAGAGGCTACGTCAACTACACATTGTCTTACTTCAATGTGTCAGACTACGCACCAGGCATTATAATCGAGAGCAACTACACACTGTGCAGGTACAAATAATTCTGGTAATTGTGGAGGATATTAAATATAACGTATAGGTTCTGTACTTCATTGCGTTTTTGTATTGAGTTTTTCTTGAGAGAAAATTTTACTCTTGACTTAAAGCTTTCGTGACTGCAGAAATTCATATTCTTTGGGCCTTTCGGTAAAGTCACGTAGATAGGTTCAAAGAAAATAACCAAAAACTATGACATTTCTATCGCGACACAAGCGTTCAACATCAGGGAGAGGGAGTTAGCTTCTAAAGGTAAACTGTTTATAAAGGTTTGAAATAGGCATAGCCAAAATGTCAGCAGCCAACGTTAATGTAAATGATGGGCAGCGACCACGACGGTGGTGGGTTTTCCCACCAATCAAAGGGCTGCCCAGTAAAAATTAGCATGATAATGTAAGATCGTTGAGCGGCCTCTATGGTGGCTATGTTAATGTGAGAGATTAGCATGTTGATGGGAGATTGCAAAGCAAAAACCTCGAGCTCGGTGAGCAAGGTGGCTGTGTTAGGGTGAGAAATTTAACCTGAATAGAAAATTTAACAGCAAAAATTCTGATTCACGATATAACCTGAAGGAAATAAAAACATTGCTTTATTTTATATTAACATTTGTATATACAGTCCATTCTCCTATAACGTATGTTTTCATAACGCGAATTGGATATAATGCGATAAATGTATGAGGGAACACATTTTTTATAAAGTGGATGCGAATTGGATATAATGCGATTGAGGGAACAGAACTACGTCGCGTGAGACGGAATAAGCGGTTGTACAGCTGCCTCGGCAGGGGGGATGCTGCTGGGTGCTTCTAGATGCTACCTACGCACCTCAATCTTTGCTCAGCCTTCATATGCATCTAACGCGTTATTGCAGACTATGCGCTACCCTTCTTCCCTATAAAGGTCATGTTTTGGCTGTTTGTCTGTCTGTATGTGTGTGGACACACCTTGTGACGCATTTAACTACTGGCTTTACGTTTGAACAAACTACACACGTACGACGTGATAAGCCCACCAACCGACAAATCGCGATTTATTTTTCCCATCTGTCAAATGTAAAGTAGTTCAATTAACCATTTATTCCTATGTATTATTATATTACTACGCTGAGCGCACACCAAAGCACGCATTTACGCATGCGCAAGAACGCTGACTCGTGGTTCCTATAGCAACGCACACACGCGATCGGTGGGGGAGGGGAAAAATTATCATTCATGTAATAAATGCAAAAAAAATACACAACGCTGAGGTAAATTCTTCACAGTGTGATGTCCTCTTCTCCCCCCCCACCCCAATGTGTGCAGATACTACTTTAGATACTACTATAGTCAGTACATACTACTGTAGAGCAGGTGGGGGGATGGTGCCACCTCGGCCGGCTGGGCAATCTCGGCAAGGCCGGGGTCTCTGCACGGGACTAGGCCTCACCACGGCACTATTAACTTAGTACTGCAGAGTCGATATATACTATTATAGAGTCGGTATATATGACTATAGAGTCGGTAGCTACTGCTGTAGAGTAGGTAAATACTACTGTAGAGTTAGTATATACTCCTATAGAGTCAGTATATACTACTGTAGAGTTAGTAGATACTACTACAATCAGTATATACTACTGTCGAGTTAGTAGATACTACTACAGTCAGTATATACTACTGTAATGATAGTAGACACTACTACAGTCAGTATATACTACTGTAATGATAGTAGATACGACTATATAGTCAGTATATACTAATGTAGTGATAGTAGATACTACTACAGTCAGTATATACTACTGTAGTGATAGTAGATACTATATAGTCAGTATATACTACTGTAGTTATAGTAGATACTACTATTCAGTATATACTACTGTAGTCATAGTAGATACTACTATATAGTCAGTATATACTACCGTAGTGATAGTAGATAGCACTACAGTCAGTATATACTACCGTAGTGAAAGTAGATAGTGCTACAGTCAGTATATACTCCTGTAGTGATAGTATTACAGTCAGTATATACTACTGTAGTGATAGTAGATAGTACTACAGTCAGTATATACTACTGTAGTGATAGTAGCTAGTACCACAGTCAGTATATACTACTGTAGTGATAGTAGATATAACTACAGTCAGTATATACTACTGTAGTGATAGTAGATACTACTACAGTCAGTATATACTACTATAGAGTTAGTAGCTACTGCTATAGTCAGTATGTACTACTATAATAAAACACTTCCACGACAACTGTTGACTGACATCCTTTTTATTAACTATTGCACAGCTCCGCTCTCTCTCTCAGGATGGCTTCCCTCTCTCTCTACTGCCGTGACACGGGCTCTCCCTCTTCCATCGTCGCGGCGCGTCTCTCTCTCTCTCCACACTCGCCGCTGGCCGGTGGCGCGCTGGGAGGAGAGAAGGCTTCGCTGACAGAGCCCGCCACATGGCCGGTGATGAGTAGAGGTAGGCGATGATGCAGTCCGGACTCCAGGCTTCCCACACCGACCTCGAGTCCTCCCACTGCCTCTCCTTATATTCCGGTCGGCGAAGCAAGCTCCGCCTCCAGCCACGCCCCCTTGTGGAACCTTCCCAAAGGTTCCCGTACCTTTGGCCCAGATGGAACCCTACCGTCTGATTGGGTATTAGTTACCCAGTGGTGACTATGCAATTACCCCTCGTCTTCCCTTAGATGGCGCTCTCCCATTACATCACCCCTCCCCCCCCCCCCCCCCCCCCCGTAATGAAAAGACTAGCCATCCCGGCTATGAATGAACCCGAACAAGTAATGGGAGAGCGACATAACCCAGGTGGCAACGAGCACAAGAGCACACGTACAAAGAAGAGTTCATGAACGACCATGAATACAAGAACAAGGAAGTAAGGTGAATATCCAACACAGGCAAAGGCACATATGAACATTAACGATATCGGGGCATCTTTGAACGGGTCCGCGACGCCGGACCATCCCTTGCATCCGTGTCCAGCCTTGCATGGGTCGGGTAGGCAGAAGTCAGGGCGGTCAGCGGAAGGGTGGTGGAGTCCGTCGCTGCTGGGCTGGATCGTGCAGGGTCGGCGTCAGCAGCAGTAGCAGTCAGGGGCTCGGCAGCTGCATGGGAAGATGTTGGGCCGTCGGCAAAGGAGTCAGAGCCGGAGCAGCAGGCGGAAGTGGCCAAACCGGCCACACCTGAAGCATGTGACAGCGGCCGGCGAACTGCCCCGTCGTCACCCCGACGTGGGCCGTTGAACCCCCAGCAACGTTGAACGTTGCCCCGACGTCGATCCCAACGAGGAACAGCCACCGCAAAATCACCCCCCGCAGGCGCATTGTCTGGATTGTGGACGGCTTTTGCTGGCGACCAACCCTTTGGCTCACCGTCGCGAACAGGATCACCCGTCCATGCAGCCATCTGCGTCCAACATTGTAGGTTCTCGTGCACGTTCAGGCATCTGGCGGCCCATCGAGACGTCTGCGGCTAATGACCGCAAGCAGGCAGAACCACCCCCATGTTCCTTGCCAAAGCCAGCATTCTTCCCATCATCAGCGAGTCGAGGACTTCTTGCTTGACATCGGGGTAGGCGGCCACAGCCAACACCATCAAAGCGCTACGGTAGGCAAGGGGGGTTTCGGAACTCCCCCGCCTACGCTGCATGAACTTTCGTTGAGTATTAGAAGGCGGTTCATAGACCTTTGCCATTTCCGCCTACACATCTTTCAACGTTTTCTTCTCAGGAGGAATCGATCGAAATACCGCCAGCGCGTCGTCATCCAAAACGGTCGGCAAAGCGACCAACGCCTCTTCCTCCGACCAGTGCACTGACGGGAACGCCGCCTCGAAGCGCCAAGTGAAAGCGCTCAAATCGACGCCTGCAGCGACGAATTCCTTGACTTGAGGAAGACGACGACTGAGCCCTGCTCCGTTCCGTCCAACAGCAGCAGCCTCCACCGGCTGCACACCACGCGGCTCCACAGAAATGGCAGACTCCAACCATGCCTCAACAGCGCCGCGCAAGATGGCGGCATCCTGACGCGTGGTCTACATAGCGTGTGTAATGGCAGACAGCTCTCCCGCGCCTGCAATGGCGACCGTCGACTCCGCAGGGGGACCCTCCGAGGTTCCATCCCAAAGCCTCTGCTCATCACCCCTCGGCAAACCCTTCTGTGGGGGCCCCGTCACCATAGACGACGCGACAAGCGACACCAGCTGGAGAAGCACCGTCTGGAGCGAGTCCAGCTGCTCCGCCACCTGTTTCCAGCTGTCCTCTGCCCATTGTGACGAAGATGCCGCAGCTGCGCCATCCGTCTCTGACATGGTGATTTCACCAGCCATGGTTCCTGTAACCGGGATCATGGATCCCGGGGTCGGCAGGTCCTGGGTCCCTGCCTCGTTGTCGTCAGAAGATGCCACAGGTGGGCTCTTCTTCTTGAGATGCTTGGACATTTCGCTTTCAGTTGTACTCCCTTGTCTGTAGAAGGACCACTTCTGACTCCAGTTGTAATAAAGCACTTCCATGACAACTGTTGACTGGCGTCCTTTTTATTAACTACTGCACAGCTCCGCTCTCTCTCTCCGGATGGCTTCCCTCTCTCTCTACTGCCGTGACGCGCGCTTTCCCTCTTCCACCGTTGCGGCGTGTCTCTCTCTCTCCACGCTCGCCGCTGGCTGGCGGCGCGCTGGGAGGAGAGAATGCTTCGCTGACAGAGCCCACCACATGGCCGGTGATGAGTAGAGGTAGGCGATGATGCAGTCCGGACTCCAGGCTTCCCACACCGACCTCGAGTCCTCCCACTGCCTCTCCTTATATTCCGGTCGGCGGAGCAAGTTCCGCCTCCAGCGGTATGTACAGGAACCTTCCCGAAGGTTCCTGTACATACCCACTAGCTCTGCCCGTTACCTTTGGCCCAGATGGAACCCTACCATCTGATTGAGTATTTACCCAGCGGTGACTATGCAAATTCCCCTCGTCGTCCCTTAGATTGCGCTCTCTCATTACCCTACTGTAGAGTTAGT